AATTTATTAAAAATTCAATCTCTCTATTGGGTGGTAAATTAGGAATATCATTAGGAAAAACTTTAGGAAAATTTTGAATAACTACTATATTTTTTAAATCGACTTCCTTTTTTACTTCTATAGAAGATATTAACAAATATCCTTGAATTTTGTTATTCAAAGACTCATTTACTAAGTTGGTAGAGAAATTCAAAAGATCCTCAGAATTTGAAATATTACTATTTTTTCTGCACAATTCAGAAGAACTTGATTGGAAGATAACCAGTCATACCCAAGATTACATCCAATTGAGATAAAGGTAGACAAATTAAATTTATAAGGAATTTCCTATTTTCAATGAACAAAGGACAATCTAGAAAAATTTTATTGGTGATTACAGACTTACTCGTGGGAGTTGAAACAACTAATGTCTAGAAAAGAAGTTGACAATTCAAGGTGTTGGATACAATCATTGGAAATGAATGAATGAGTTGCGCCTGAATCATACAATACATTTAAGGTTTTACCTTTAATGATACATATACCTTGGATCAAATCATTATTTTGAGAGGCTTCAATTCTAGTCATGGTATACACTCTTCCTGTTGTCGGAGGTCTTATTTTTGGTTAGAAGGATTATAATTTGGTTTTTGTTGCCGACATTCAAAGAATATATGACTAGGTTTTCTATACTTGAAACAAACAGGTCCTTTAAGATGACAATCTTTAGCATAATGATCTTGTCCACACTTAAAACACTTGAGCTGATCATTTATACAATTATTAAAATTTCTTGCAGAAAATTGACTGGGTTGGGATCTCCATTAGGGTGGTTGTAGGGTTTTCCTTCATTTTGTCTCCTTTTATTTTGCTGGGGTCCAAAATATTTTGGTTTACCATTTTGATGGTTTTCAAAATCTTTTAAAAATCTGCACTTGAATAAACGTAGGAAAATCATAAATTTCTAATATTTCTATTGCTTTTCTCAATTCAGGTCTAAGTCCATTATCAAATTTTATACACTTCATTCTTTCATCAGGATGATAAAAGAATGCAAAATATTTTCCTAACTCTTCAAACTTAGAGGCATACTTCTCTACTGTCATACCTCCTTGCTTTAATTGCATAAACTCTATTTCTTTTGCTTTCCTTACATTATTGGGAAAATATTTTTCTAAAAATTTTGTTCTAAACACCTCCCCAGTAATGATTATTCTTCCTCCTTCTAGTAATATCCTAATACTATCCCACCAATATTTAACTTTTCCTATCAACATAAACACAACGTAATTTACCTTTTGGTCATGAGGACAATTCATAACTCGAAATATTTTTTCCAATTCTTTAATCCATAATTCAACCTTTTCTGGGTTATAACCTCCAGAAAATTGAGGAAGTTTGTTTATCCTAAATTCAACCAAACCTTGTCATTCATTGGTTCCTTCAAGTCTTTGGTTCCTTAATAATGTAGTGGTCATGTCTCTGATAGCTTGTACCGCTTCTGTCAACTCATTGTTTCTCCTATTATTTGCCATCTGGAATTATATAAGTTAGGATTCATAAGATCTCATGATAAACTCATTTAACAGGTCACACATTAAATATTGCTCTGATACCATTTAATGTGACATTTTTTTTATATAAGAGTAACATGTCAGATAAAGATATTATATATATGTAAAAGTAATTTACATCACTTATTTATTTTTAAGATATACAAAAGAAGAAGGAATTTTATTTATTTTTGATTCCATCTATTCTTATTATAATTTTACAATTATGTACATTTCCGGTGGAAACAAACTGATTAAGGGATTTTGGTAAATGGTAGGAGACATGCAAAAGGTAACCACTATTGGTCCATCTAGCATGATGGGAATTCCCATATTAGATGCAAATATAAATATTGATAACCCTGTTCCTTTAAAAGTAACCAAGTTGTCAATAATGTTTGTGTTCCAAGTAGTTTCTAGAAAGAAGGCAGTGATGCTTGCAGAAAAGGGATTTAGAATATTTGGTGTCTCCATCAACTTAAGTTGATATTTAAATATAACATGCACAAAAGATCACACTAAAGAGTGAGAACAATTATCATTTAAAATAATACAATCTTAATATATATATATATATATATATATATATATATATATATATATATATATAACTATATTTTTCAACTTCCTCAACACATTTTATTTTATAAATATTTAAATTAAATTTGTAGTGATTAGTCAGGATAAATAAGCCTAATTTTAAATTCTCAGTAATAACTACTCATTTCAATTCCCAAGATTTAACCTCCATTTACAATATCATCAAATCTTCATAAATAGATATTATTATAAAAAAATAATTAAATAATATAAATATAAATTAATAAATAGGAGTATTGCATAACTCGAAGATAAAATAAATAAGACCAGTGCAGGACTAGAGATAAACATAAAATAGGGTTAGTACGTAACTGGAGATAATTAAAATAAAATCAGTGTAAAATTGGAGAAAAATAAATAAACACAAAACAATCAATATGTAGTTGGAGATAAATAAACAAGTAACAGAATAAATAGAATGAAGTTACGGACACCTCACTCCACAACTATAATTAAAATAAAATAGATAAAATGATAATATTCTCTTCCCCTACTTCAATATTGCAGATGATACACCAAAGTTTGTTTCCAAGTTGTTTCTCTTCTCTTCTTTCCCAATCTCCTTCTCTTCTCTCCCTCTCTCTTTTTCTTCTCCCCCTTTCTTACCTTTCTCCTTTTTTTTTCACCACCCACACCCCTTTATATAGGAACATTTTTACCTTTTTTTTCATTAATGCTTCTCATCCTTTTATTAAATTAATATTTTTTTAAGTCTTGGTCAATTTAAAGCTTATCTCTTCTTCTACGAAGAGATAAGAAATGTTATTTTTTTTACATATTAATAATAATATATAATATAATAATAATAATTATTATTATTATTAATTCATATTATATATATATATATATAAATTTTAATTATAATAGTATATAATAATAATAATTATTATTATTAATTTCATAATTTATTATAATAATAATTATTGTTAATTATATATATATATATATATATTTACATAAATGAGTCTTTTCTTAATTATTTAAATTACCTACAATATTATTTAATACATTATATTTGAAGAAAATTTTACATAAATTATTTTTTAGATGTTACACTCTGCTTCTTCTTCTTCACTCAATTCGTCTCCATTAACAAAGTCTCCCATCCAAATCAGCTTCCTCCTCTCTCTCCCTTGAACTTCGTGTGTTTCCGTTTCATTTATAATGTCATTGCCCTCATTGTTCTCATCATCACTCCTGAACCCCATGTCTTCCTCAAAATGATTTTCACTATTCTCATCATTGTGCTCCTTTTCATTATCATCACTATAGAGTTCATCAAAAGGCTACCCCTATTCTCATCACTTTGTTCTTTATAATGTGAAATCTAATCCCAACTCTTCTCTTCTTCAAACAAGACGTCTTTATTAATCACAATTATCTTGGTTTTAAAATTAAATAAGTGATAGTCTTTTGACTCATCACTAATACCTAACATAATATAATGAAATCTTTTATCATCATGTTTTCTCATATGGCATCTAGTATATGCACATGACTTAAGCATCCTTAAATTCTAAGGTGTTTGATACAAGATTTAATTTCACTCCAAACTTCTCGTGGTGTGATATTCTTTACAACATAAGTGGGATGACCATTCAATTGATAGAATGCCCAATTTACTGCTTCAAGCCAAAAGGATTTGAGAACACCTTTTATTGGGAGCATACACCGTATCATGTTCGTAAAAATCCTATTCTTATGTTCAACGACTCATTTTTATGTGGCATATAAGTTGTGATAAATTGTCGTTTTATGTCATTTTCATTACATAATAATTTGAACATGAAAGAGTTAAATTCTCCTCATATATCTGGAGATATCTGATAAACAATTTGACTTCCTTTTCCACCAAGTTTTTGTAAGACTTGAAACACTCTAAAGCGTTAGACTTTTTAGAAAGTAGAAACACCCAACTTTTATGACTATAGTCATCAATAAGGCTTAAGAAATATTGTTTTCCATTATTGGAGATGGGTTTTATGGACCCATAATGTCTACATGTATAAGTTCCATTATGGTACTTGCATGCCATTTACTTTTCTTAAGAATTGGAGCGCGGTGTTGTTTCTAGAGTCTTCAAGCCTTCGAGTGCGGTAGACCATGAACCATGTTTTGTGTTATTACCACATTTGACATAATGTTTAGTTTTAGACACCATTTTATGAAAACATTTTTATCACCACACATGTGGTTAGAACACCCAAAGTCCAAAAATCATGCAACATTCTTGTTGGCTCCTTTTCCAACAGTAGTCATTAAGAGAAACTCTTCTATGTAATCTAGTTCTGCATAATTGACTTCGTTGTTCCATTGAGGATAATTCATATTGGAAGTGACCCAATTGGTAACACGTGAAATATTCTACCGTTGCCTAAGATCATCTACCACGTCCACGACCTCGGTAGGATGATCTTTGTCTCTATTGCTCTCCAACATTAGTGATTGCTCATCATCTTGGTTGATTTGTTTGAACTTTTGCTCATGGATCACTAAGGAGCTTTGTAGTTCATCAATGGACATTACCTTTGTGTCTTGTGACTCCTTAATTGAAACCACCACATAAGTGAAATAAGTTGTCAAAGTTCTAAGTATTTTTTTCAACTACCTTGGATTCAGACATACACTACTACAAAATATACTTTCTACGTCGTCATTTAACGTCGGTTATAGCTGAGACGACGTAGAAAGTCTTTTTTTTTTTTTTAGTTATTGACACTTTCCACGTCGGTTCCCATATGAACCGACGTGGAAAGTCGTTTTTTTAATTTTTTTCTAGTTATTGACACTTTCCACGTCGGTTCCCATATGAACCGACGTGGAAAGTCGTTTTTTTTTTTTTTTTTTTTCACCCAAAAATTTGAAAATTGTCACTACTAGGATTCGAACTCAAGATTTTAGAATTGGAAACTAATACTCTAACCACTAAACTATTTGATAATAACTTACAAATAAATTATATTTATATACAAATAAATATATATCCATGTAAATATATATTTATTTGTATATATTTTCTGGAAAGTATTTTTATTTTTTTTTCAGCCAAAAATTCACTTAAGTTAATGACTTGTCACTGACAGCATTTGAACCCAGTATTTTAGGGTTGTAAGTTAATATCCCAACCACTAAACTACTACAATTTTTTGATAATAACTTACAAATAAATTATATTGGTATTTTTTGACCGAGGGTGAAAGTGTGATTGACTCTCGCTTGAGTGAAAATATGTTAAAGCTCACTGAAATTCACTCACTCAAGTCTCGCTTGAGCGAAAATTGGTATTTTTCGCTGAGAGCGAATAACGCGTTTCCCAAATTTATTTTATATTATTATATAAATAAAATTATAAAGATTATATTATGTCATTAAATTACAAACTCATATAAAGATACCGCTCACAAATTTAACATCAAATTTTGAAAACCTACTCGACACACACTTTCACTTTCGAGTGTACCCTCACATTCAACATATAAATATATAACTATATAAATATATCAAAATATATAAATATATTTGTATTTATATATTTATATATTTACACGGATATATATTTATTTGTATATAAATATAATTTATTTGTAAGTTATTATCAAAAAATTCCAAGTAGTTTAGTGGTTGGAGTATCAGCCTCCAACTCTAAAGTACAAATTATACTTTCAACGTCGGTTCTAATAAACCGACGTTAAAAATCCGTAACTTTCAACGTCGGTTTATTAGAACCGACGTTGAAAGTCAACGTCGCCTGATACAACGTCGGTTGTTGAACCGACGTTGAAAGCCTTCCAGAACCGACGTTGAAGGTTTTATTTGTAGTAGTGATATTCTTTTCAATGTTACGTATTTTTTGACCACTACCATGACTTAGCAAAATATTTTCGTAATAGTTTCGATGTTGATCATTTCAAGCACCTCAAACTCCTATCTTAATGCATTAAGCATGGATTTCTTCTCATATGCATTTCCTCCAAATTTGTGTTCCAAGCTCAAACACATTTAGACATGTTCCTATCTAAAATATACTCGAAAACAATTTGATCGATAGTTAAAAAAGGGTAATACTTACCTTATGATCCTTTATTATGAATTTCTCCAATTGTTCCAACTATGCTCCAGTCCGAACGGTGCTGCCGTCCAACTCTCAACACCAGTTTTGACCAAATTCTAAAGTCCCTTGGAGTAGATTTTCCATCAATTCACTCCAATGATCATATCATAGTGCTGACCCTCAAAGTAGTGGATTTTGTGGCGGAGAGTTTCTCGTTGTGCATTGTCGGGAATTTTTGTTTTTCACAGATAAGCTACAACTAATGTATCATGCCAATGAGAGCTTTGATACTAGTTTGAAAAAATTATAAATATATGCATGTAATTGGTGAAAAAATAATTACTTTATTACTGTAAGTGAGCCCATTATATAGGCAAAAACAAATCCAAGAATTGGTTCACGTATAACAATGTAACCATATTAAAACAAATTATCCCTATAAAATAGGATTATTCCTAAAATCTAGGACTTATTAAATAGAAACTGAAACAACTTCAAACATTAAAAATATGTTTCAATATTATGTTTAATTTTGTTTTATTGTTAAAAATAATAACGTAATAATCTCAAAATTTATACGTAGTTTCAAATATATATATATATATATATATATATATATATATATATATATATATATATATATGTTAAAATGTAGTTTTCTTTTTTATAAGTATAAAAAACATTTATATAAGTATAAATATAATTTTTTAAAATATATAATATATAAGGAGATAACCCATCTAAAACCTAATACTTGTTTTAGTTTTTCTCGTACAAAATACATGATTATTAAAGTTGAAACACTACAAACAACACCACATAAGATAAGATAAGTTAGTATATATTATTACACACTCAATTAATCATCTAACTGATATCATATCGAACAATTTCATCATAAAATTCTAGTATTCATTAGTTTCAACCCAAGTCTAATATATCTCCATGATCCTTGGTCATATCTTCATCACATTAATAAATATGATAATCTCACGTCTTCAAATATCTATTCACATATATTAGACACTTAATACAATATGTTAAAAGAATAGATTTTTGTTTAGACATCAATACTAACCGTTATCACACTTTAAAATGCATGACACTCTATTTCAAACATACGATGACCCAAGTTAATTCACATGTTATTGACACCCTTACACATAAAAAGTTTGAATATTTCTAATTACAGTTGTAGTTGTTGAGATTAAAAATAACATTCATAAAAGTTTTTTTTACGTTAATAAGGAGTCCTAGCATTATTATGTAACTATAATGTTTGACATGTGGAAGATATGTTATCAAAATGACATTTTTATCATGGTTAAATTCCCTACTTAATGATGATGTAACTTTGTTTTTAATTATATTTCAATGAATAACTCGCATACATAATTTTTTTTCTTATGCAAAACATAAGTATTCTTATTTTTGGTTTGGGTTTATGGAAACGGTTTTTAGTTTTGTTTCTATTTGCAGGTTGTGGTTGTGGTTGTGTTTTGTTTTCTTTATTTTACTAGCTTCGGTTCTATATTTTCTTGTTGACTGGTTCTATTTTTAATTTTTTTCATTGATCTTGGTTTTTTTTCTGTATTTTCTTGTTGATCCTGGTTTTGTTTCTATTTTGTGTTGATTGCCCTTTGGTTTTGATTTTGATTTTGATTGTGAATGAGGTGAGTAAGTGGTTCTAGTTGCTTTTTGTCTTGACTTTTGGTTCACATTTTTTGTTTTTGGTTTCTAATTGTGTTCTTGTTTCTCGTTCAGATTCAGGTTTTGTTGTAACTACACGTTAAATCACTTTCAGACCAGGTTCAAGTCTTTATTGTTGACTAGTCAATATTGAGCGTCTGTCATCATAAATAATGAGACCATATTTGATAAAATCATCACATGATTAAAAAAAATAGTAATAAGGGCCAAAAATAATATGCATCAGAGACACTTTTGTTTTGAGCCTCTTTATAGAAGCAATTATGTGATAAAATAATGTCTAAGTTTAATGCATGGTTGAGTGATGCTACGAAGAAAACAATGTTGTTCATGTTGCATTCTATGGTTAGCATATTGATGGTAGGTAACTTTCCGTAAGAGACATTGATTCCAAAAATAGAAAACTTATTCGAATAAAAAACATTAAATCAAAGAACCTACAATCATAATATTTCACTATTTAAAAAAAATGGTAAGCAATATTTCTTTTATTTTATTAATAAGAATACGTTCATAAACTATTCACAGTGTCAAAACTAAATTTGAAACTAATTTAAGAGGTTGTACTCCTAATTAGATACCAAATATAACTTTATTATTAACTATTTTTTATATAATTAAAAAGTTCATAAAATTTTTCGTATAATTCACAAGCTCAATGTAATTGTGAATGTACATAATCTTATTTTAGATTATTTTGTATCCAAGATAATTATCATCTACTCATAAGAACATTTGTTTATTAACTTAATCAAATTTCCAATTTCATCATATTTTAAATTACCATACAATATATTCCACTTTTACTAAAATACCAGAGCCAACAGCAGGACCACATTCATAAGTTTAATTTACTCCAGAGGCATAAAGTTACATTTATTTTAACTAAAACAATTTAACTGTAAGAATGGCCACAACAATTACAATTATAAAAAAAAAATACTTTAAGCATTTTAAATTAAAGTTACCATTTTCATATTAGTCTGACTTTACTTTACAAACCAATTTAAAATTTTGATGGTACAACCTTATTTATATTTTAAAATAGATAAAAAAATTTAGTTTAACCTTATATTTGGCTTGATTTTAGAATAGATAAAAATTTAGTTTAACCTTATAAAAAAATTTAGTTTAAAATGGATAAAAAAATTTTAGAATAACAGGTTAATGAGTTAATTTGGCTTGATTAATATTTTTTTATAAAATATTAACATACGAAATCAATTAATTAAAAAAATATTTAAATAAAAATAAAAAAATATATTTTTTATTAATAAAATTAATTTTTATTCAAAATATAATTATTTAATAGATAGATTATAAGATAATGTATCTATTCAATTTTAAAATAAAAATTTAAAATTTATTATTCATTATCATTATTTATTTTTTTAATAACTTATTAATTTAAAATAATAATTAATCTTAATTATTAGATCTTAAAATAAATAATGATTAAATATTTATTTTAATATTTTTTCAAACAAGTAAATTTATTATTAAATTAATTTATAATAATATATATATATAAAATAATATTATTTTTTTATTTAAAATAAGTTTATCATAAATTAGTCTGATCTAAAAATCATAACTTAAATAGATTTGATTAAAATAAATCTAATTTAATTTAAACTATAATTTTTTTTAATCTAATTTAATATTTTTTTACCTTCACTCATGGTAATAAATGTATTTTTCTACCTTAAAAAAATTTCACATTTTATTCAATCTATCAATTTGTCTCCTTGAATCTTGATAAATATAAAAGATAATTTATTTTTTTAAATATTATATTTTAATTTATTTAAATTTTAGAACTAAATTTAAAAGAATTTTTAAGAGTTAAATTAACTAGTTTACCAAAAAAAAATACTATTATTAAGACAACCAAAGAAATTAATGAGAGAAGTAAGGGAAGAAAAAAAATTGCTTAAATCCAAAGAAGTACACCATCGAAGTAGATGATGAAATGAATGAAAAAAAAAACAAAAACAAAAACAAAAACAAAATACACCTACTCTAATGAAAGGAACCCACAACCACCACCTTACAAACTGGTTTTTGTCTTAAAATGGAAGAAACCTTAAATCTCAAACACCAAAATTCAGCCTCAATTTATTATCATTTACATTCATTTGGTTAAATAGATTGAATGGAGAGTACGTAGATCAAAGAATAAAGAACCATTACGCTTCCACGTAATATGACAAAGGAAAAAAGAAAAAAGAAAAAAGAAAATTAATATTAATAACTAATAATAAATAAATTTTATTTCACTCTTACCTATTTTTACTTTCTTTCACTCAGTTATTTTTTACTTTCTTTCACTTAATTATTTTAACTTTCTTTCACTTAATTCTCATTTAATTTTTAATGAATCAATTAATTACAACTTTTTATTATTTTTAATTCTCTTTTTCTTCCAACCAAACAAACTCTCCTTTTCCGATATTTCTCTCATTTATCATAACTCCAATTCAAACACAACGATATGCTATGCACATGTCTGTCAACTTTATCTATTTAACGCTGTTAAGTGCGGGAGGGAATAATATCGTAACTAATACACAGTTAGGTAGAAAAAAAAAAACAAAAACGGAAAGGACACCTATAAATTTACACAAACTTTAGAAGAGGTTCATGTAATTTACTCAACAAGTTATTATACAAGTTGACTTGTAAATGAAAAAAAAATACAGATTACAAAAATAATATTTGTTTTATTATTTATGTAATTTACATAGTTAGTTAAAAAAATCAAAATAGTTTCACTTTTATTGCATTGAAAGTTGTGATATTAAATTCTTATCAAATTTATAATATAGCTGTATATATTTTTTATTACATGTAATTTTTATAAGATACATTGTTACCTAAGACACACGTAGTTGTGAAGTTGTCGCTGTCCATAATTATCCCTTCTCATTTAGGACAACCCTATATTAATATATAGGAGTTTAATTTGTCAATATTTTTGCCAAATATTTTTCTTTAACAGGGTAACTTTAATTAATGGACGAAATTCTATGCATAAGCGGACTCTCTTTTTGGTCTTTTATGCCGTCCCTGTTCACACAAACAAGGGGGAAATAAAACATTTTGTTTATTTTTTACATTTTTTATGAAATAAAATAAAAATAGAGATAATTTTATAAGATGAGAATTATATTTGATTATGTATTATATTGTATATTTATTTAATGTTAAATTTTATTATATTTTTTTATCTTAAGATTCTAATTTTATTGTATCTTTCCAATGAGATTATTCATCTAAAATTTTAAATTATTTTTTTATTTTACTCTTCACACTATTATGATGGAGAAAAACCAAATAAACCAAATAAATTATTTTATTAAATGTGAAAGATGATATACTTGATCCAAATGGTGGTAGGATAACTCTTAGCTTCATGGATTACAAATATGAAATCTTGATTATTTTTTATTTATTTGACATTTAAATAGATATTAACTTCTATCTATTATTTTTTGGTAAGATCATTGTAGATTAAATGATTCAATCTTTATCAAGGGAGATAGATAACATATGTAAAACAAGAAGAGGTTAGAAGCTGTAAAACTAGTGTTTTTTCTTTTTAAATTGCAAATTGTTTGAAAAATTTTTGGAGGGATTAATCCTCTGAAAATGAGAAGATGTAAAATACATTTACAATCACAAATTATAAAGAAAACAATGATTTAAAAAGGATTATAAGAATTTAAATAGGCTAATAAGAAACTTTTGACTAATTATTTATATTTTTTTTGTTTTTAAGTAAAACTTTGACTAATCTAAATTTTTTAATTTTTTATTAATATTGTCAAAATTTGTCGCTGATCATCAAAACAAATTTTTTTCTATTTAATCTGAGTATAACTTTGACCACTAACTTTTTATCACAGAATAATGTATACGTATTCATAATATGTGTGGTTTAATATTCTACCAATTTTTTAATACTAATAATAAATAATTTATATCAATATCATAGTTAATCACAATTTAATAATTTATCACTCATGATGAATAATTTATACTAATATTATAATTATTTAAGATCTAATAGTGAAACTAAATAGAAACACACAATTGCCCTAAATAACAATTTATTAAAACTCTGTTCCCATCTTTGTCACAAGAGGAAAAGAACAAGGGAAGTTACAAAATCAGAAGGCTGATACAGTAAAGTTTCATGCATCACTGTAAATACGCATTAATGCGAGTACAAAACGGGGCAAGAAAAATTGAGACCTGTTTCAAGATTCTATATCCTAATTATTCCTCACACCCACAACATGACGAGGTTGCAACTCTGAATACGAGAAGTCGTAGGAACACGCAGCACTTAACAACAAAATCGGATTCACTCTTTTCTTCATCGTTTTATCAATTACCTCCACAATCCAGCTCACTAGTCAATACACCTTTTCTTCTTCTCACTATTCTCTCATTCAATCACTCCATTGACTCGGCACCACCCCTTTCATCTTTGGTTTGGTAAGATCACAAGAAAATAGAAAAACAAAAGTACCTACTTTTTGCTTCTGTTCTTCAGAAAATCTCTGTTTTGTTAATACCCATGTGCTGTATTCTTGTTATACCCAACAACATCACATGTTCGAAAGTTGATTGGGCACCCCTGTTAGATCTCAGGGTGGTTTATGTTGTGGCACAAAATTTTCTGAAATTTTGATGACCATGTGATGAATTTCACTTCTTTTGTTTAGTGGTGACCTCCCTTGCATTCAGAATTGGATCTTACATAAAACCAAGAGGGTGGTTGCCATAGAAGATTTTGTTTTTACTTTTTTAATTTATGGTTTTAATTTGTAATTGTAAGCAAGATGCAATCAAGGAATGCGGCCCTTGAAGAGGGAAAGGAAAGAAACAGCCAATCGAAGCCCTTGAGACCAGTGCGGCTACTTGTGTTGTTTTTTGCTCTATGTGTTGTGTTTTCTGTCATTAGCATATACACGGTTAAGCATTTTGGAATTGAGAGTGTGGTGACCACAATGAGTTCTAGTTTTCAGCCATGTTATTATGAGGAACCCGGTGGTTTGGATAAGTGGATTAAGCCACCTTTGAGCTTGATCCATAATATGAGTGACAAAGAACTGCTGTGGAGGGCTTCTTTTGTTCCAAGGATCAAGGTTTACCCATATCCTAGAGTTCCCAAGATCGCATTCATGTTCCTGACCAAGGGACCATTGCCTCTGGCACCCCTTTGGGAGAGATTTCTCAAGGGACATGAGGAGTTCTTTTCCATATATATCCATTCACTGCCCTCATATCAACCTCAATTTTCTCCTTCATCTGTCTTTTACGGCAGGCAAATCCCTAGCCAGGTATGGCCATATCCATTTATGCTGCTATTTGTTGATGAAACTGCATTTGCTCTTTTTACCCTTGTAGACACCCCTTGATCTGATGTTGCCAATGCGTAATTTGGGCCAGTTTAATAGTTTAAGCTTTTATATAGTTCCCCTCTGTTCATATATGATGTCGTCTTTCAAACATTGTTCGTGTTTGTTTTAAGGTTTTGATGAGAATTTACTTATTGCTGATGATGGTGGCATCAATGCGTTTGATTATAGTTACATCTTTCTTTCTGAATTCTGTCTGGTGTGGTGGTGGTAATATTGATTTTCTTATCAGTGTTACATGGTTAGTGCATCGCGTTGCTAGACTTTTGGGTAAGGTATTCAGGAAGAGTTAAAGATTTTACTGAGAAGATGAATATGGTGTTAGAATGTGATTTACATGGCGATGGTCTGTATTAGTCTTGGATGAGTGAGAACATAAAACCAGTAAGCAACCTAATTATCTATAACTTATTACAAACTCAGAATTGTCCGTTCACTAAATATTATTTTATCTACAAATCTGATGTAATGTTGCATGTGAAAGGTAGGTTTGAGACGAAGATAGAAAGAAGATTATCCTTCAATTAAGCTTGAGCTTGCTTCCTAGAAGAGTTACGGCAGAAATTGACAGATATTTATTCTTTGTAGATAAATCTGTAGCAGGGGTTAAGATTTTGTTCTATTGGATGAATCTGCATGTATTTAGGATTTTACAGGAAGATGGAAAAGTTAGCTTAGAAGTTATCATCTTGCACCATTTTAATTAGTGTTTGCCAAGCCCGGTGGCCTAGCTTTTTAAAAGTTTAAGCCATTAGGTAAAAGCACAAGATCGGTTCTAGAGCCATTATTTGTCCTTAAGATGTAAACGATACACACAAATTATGCAGAATTAAGGTGGAAAGGTCTAACTCAAAATCAATTGGTCATGGAAGCTTGAATGTTATATAAAGGACTAATGCTCCAATAGTTTACATTGTTAGAAGAAGACACAAGATTAGTTTTATATCTCTATTTATGTTCAATGGTTGTTGTTTTCACATTGTACGTGGTTTTTAGACGTGTGAAAAGGGTGGAGGGAGACCAAGAACGACTCTTGAGAAAGTTGTTTAGAGAGATGTTATGATGAATATCTCTAAAGATTTGGTCTTTAATTGAGACCAGTAGTGTTGTATCATCATGTTGCCAACTTCATCTAGTGGGATAAGACTTTTTTTGTTCTTGGTTGCTACTTTTCATATTTACTGATTCGCAGCCATACGTATCTCATGTTCTTGGTTAAAGTAACTCCCTAAGTGTTAGCTTCTTGCTTACCAGGATAACTAGCATAAACCCGTGGCAATTGACATAAGATTTTGGGAACTCACCGACCTGGGTAAAAGCTTAGAGCACAATGAGTGATTATAAAATTGATTTCATAAAAGCCTCACAAAAACAACAATCATGTAAACTATAAACCTTAAGATGATCCTTTTACATTGAGAATTAGTGAAAATACAAGTAGCCAGTAATTTTTTCTTTGTTTCTTAATACTTTGAGTGGGGGAATGTTAGTTCAATAATGTAATTTTCAATTTATGCAGGATGGTTTAGTTTCAAATAAGTATGAAGCAATGTTTACATTTGTCTTGTGCAGATCCGTAGGGTTGCATTCATTGCTTTTGATCAGGTGTTAACATGGGTCATGCATAAATTCATTTGTGCATATTACATACTCTCAGTCATATCATAGATGCGTCTCTTGAAAAATAAAAATATACTCAGGTGCAAGGTTGTTACATAACCATTATAGCCTTGCCACACCGCCATAACCTGACATTTTGTGGAGGGAAGACCACTATGACATGTTTATAGGGTTGAATTTTGGCCTTCTGCCATCGGTAACCTATGAAAATTTTCTACAAGTGTTTATCTTTGTTTTGAATTTACCATGAACATTCGTCCAATTTATTATTCACGCATCTGCTGATGATCTTCTGGTAGTTCTTGTGCAGATTTCTGAGTGGGGAAGGATGAGCATGTGTGATGCGGAAAGGAGACTCCTTGCTAATGCATTGCTTGACATCTCCAATGAGTGGTTCATTCTTCTCTCTGAGTCGTGCATTCCCCTCTACAAGTTTAGTTTTATCTACCATTACATTATGAAGTCCAAACACAGCTTCATGGGTGCATTTGATGATCCGGGTCCATTCGGAAGAGGGCGCTACAACGAGCACATGGCCCCTCTGGTGAACATCAGCAGGTGGCGCAAGGGGTCACAATGGTTCGAAGTAAACCGAAAGCTTGCCATCACCATAGTTGAAGACACGACATTCCATCCATTATTCGAACAATATTGCCGGCCGGCATGCTACGTGGACGAGCACTACTTCCCGACCATGCTCACCATTTTAGCACCAAATGTCCTGGCCAACAGGAGCATAACTTGGGTGGACTGGTCTAGGGGTGGAGCTCACCCAGCTACATTTGGAAGAAATGACATCAGTGAGGAGTTTTTCAATAGAGTTCGTGGAGGTAACACGTGCTTATACAACAATAGAAACTCCTCAGTTTGTGTTCTTTTTGCCAGAAAATTTGCTCCTAGTGCTTTGGAACCTTTGTTACATATGGTGGATTCAAAGGTATTGGACTATTGACTAATATAGAGATGTAGAATAAAGTTGTTGGATAATAGTGAGATTCATTATATGGCATGACATGAGATGATGATAATTGCCTTGTTGGAGAGTGTTAGGTGGTAGAGTGACCCCATTTCATATACAACGTTGAGTCATTTTTGAATGTACAGAAGAGACCTATTTGATCATACTTTTGTTTAAGATCTTTGTTTTTCTGCTCTTTTTTACTTTTTAAGGTTTACAGTGCAGAGTTTATGACAATATTGGTCATTGTTTTTGTCCTCAATTTGACAAAAATGGGAGTGATATGAAAGAAAATGGAGGCACAGAAAGTATTTTCACCAAACAGGAAAACGAGACTTTAAAAGTGGCATAAATTTTTTGGATTTAGACAATTTTTAGATAAAACTTGGAGAGTACCAATATATGGACTACCTCTTTAATTTGAAATCTAAACATTTTTTCATTTGTAGGTGATCTTTTTAAATGATATTATAGAAATGAGTAGTTTAAAATAAAAGCAAATGATATATTGCCATTGGCCTCTCTCACCGTTCTGCTAAACCTGGTTTAATTAAAATTGAAATAAATTGTCAGAAGTGGGATTTGAACCCACGCCCTCGTTAGAGGACCAGAACTTGAGTCTGGCGCCTTAGACCACTCGGCCATCCTGACTTTATTAATTATAAATTGAAAGTTATTTTATTATTTGTAAATTAGAATCAATAGAATTAAAAAAGAAAAAAATACTATTAATTATTTTTTTTCTAAAGGTAAATCACACATACAATCACGTTAAACAAGCAAAATTTTACAGAAATTCTACAAGATTAAAGTGAACAAAATGAGACAATTTTCTTCATATCCTAACAAGTACTCACTAATCTAAATAAGGTATATAATATCCTTAAACCTTCAACGTTATCTTTCCTGTGTTTCGTATCGTAACTATTCTCTAACACAAGATTCATTGAAGTATATTTGGGACCAATTGCCAAAAATAAATAACAAGTAGGATATTATTTTGGGTTTTCCATTGAATCACTGCATACAAATTTTGCACTTTCACAACAATTGGAGTAAGGAGCTTCTAAAAACACTAAGTTGGTTACTAACACAACTAAGAATGAATTCATGCTTCTTAATATTACAATCTGGTTAATAAATTACAGTGTCACAACATTCAAATGTAGCTTTTACTTATTTTTCTACGTGTAAAGATATGTTAGTGGGTTAAAATGAAGACGCCAGGATCATCTAATACAAGAACCAAAAAAATATTCAAAAAATATAGACAACTCAAAAATTCCTTCATAAAAATATATGGGATATTATAACTTGTTATAACAAAAAATATTATAGAAAAAATATGTAAATTAAAATAAAAAATAAAAAAATCATTATAATTAATAATATTTAGAATTTCAAGGTTAAAACTTAAAATAACCATAGAATATGAGATAAATGTTCTAAATATTTAATCATCTAAATTTTACTCAATTTTCATATAATTATTTTTAGAGCAGGGTGTATATTTTTGGATTGAATAATTTGGAAAAAAACAAATGCAAATTTTTGGATGTTTATTTAAAATCTCTGTATGATTCAAAGCATAAACCATGACCAATAAATTTCTAATATAAAAGAGTGAAAACAAATGTCCTTGAAATTACTATGGAGGTGCACACAAAAAAAGAAAGTGAGGCATCATATTAGGGTTCCAAGGTTAAAAAAATACATAAAATATTTTTATCATTTTACATATATTATGAACTTGTAGAAAAACAATATAGAGGTGTAAGAAGAATGTAGCTATATGAACTTGGTATCAAAGCCCATTTATAGGTTAGGTAGGTTTCCTTCATTTTCTTACTATTGGGCTTTTATCATTTTTCAGCCTTTGTTTGGGCTTTCTGTTTACTAGGTTCATTCTTTCTAGACCAAAACTAAAGATTGTTGCTGGGATCCAACTTCCTATATCTAATTATGTTACCTTTCATATTGAAATGTATGAAAATATTTTAGAGTCCAATTCAAAATCACATTTCATATATTTCGAAATGTAAACAAATTGTAATTTAATTTGTTTTATATTTATATCTCTCACTTAAATACAATTTATATATTCTAAAAATGAATCTATATCAATCTTAATTTCACCTTTCAATTTTAATAAAATATCACTTTACCTAAATTATAAAAATTTTAATTTATTATTTCTGTATACATTCAAGCGAAAAAAGTAACTTAACAAAAATTAATTTTAGAATTTTATTTATCAAATATATATATAAACACAACAAAAATCACCTAAAATCATGTTACATAATATAATTTCTAACCTACTTGTATACCTTTTTTTAGCATGTAAATAGATAAAGTTAGGTTAAAAGTTTCTGGCCTAAATTGAATAAGGTTTTTCTGTCTTATCTATTTATGTTGCAAGTTGCACAATTGTCCCTGACCGAGGCTAAGTGGGCCAAGTCACAATCCAAGTGGGATTCCTCGTAGGACAATTCCTATTGTTGCATGTAGCATCAATTCTCTTACAACTGAAGTCAGGTGGACTCAGTCACAATCGAATCGTGACGCTTTGACTTGTTACTCTTAAGTAAAAAGAGTTACACTCTGACTAATGACTATAGTTTTTTGCCTATTAGTAAGTGTTCAATCTTAACAATTAGTATATCATTTTTTTTGCCTAATGATAAACGATCGATCTTAACAATTTAGACCATGATATTCATGGATTTAAGTTTGGCTAGATCATAAACTTTTAGACGGATTCGTTTTATAAAATAATAATTATTTTTAAGATAAAAATAATATTTTTTTATTATAATATATATATATATATATTATAAATTAATTTGATAAGAGATTCACTTATTCTAAAAATTAATATCAAAATAAATATTTAACAACTACTTATTATACAATTAATAATTAAGATTAATTACTGTTTTAAATTAATAAATTACTAAAAATAAATAGAATAATAAAAAGTAAAATTTTATTATTATTTTGAAATTGATTGGATGCGTTCTCTTATAATTTATATATTAAATTATTATATTTAAAAAAAAATTATTTTATTAATAAAATTTAAAATTAAAAAATATACTTTTATTTTTATTTTTATTTTTTTAATTAATTGATTTGTTATAGATATATTAATATTTTTTAAAAATTTAAATTAGATTAAAATTAATCATTAGTCTATAGACTTAATATAAGGTGAGACAAGACTAAAAGTTTGGACTCTGTTTCAAAATATAGAATAGACTCAATTATAAATTTTATTTTACTTTGCTAGTAAGTTCAGATAAAATCAAATAGACCGAGATGAAATCAACCTGTAGTGATTGAAATCATAATATAACACAACTTCTTCTAATGAATTAAAGCCTAAATAAAAAAAAGCAAACGTATTTGTAAAACTAAAGAAATAAAACTACGGACACCTTTGATAATTCAAATTTTCTTAAAAAATAGTCATTATAAAAAACAATATAAAATTAAAATGAATCACTAAATTATCAAAATATTTTATAAGAAAATGCCATAAAAAAATGTGATTTAAAAATGTTGATATATTTTTTGTTTATATAAATTATTAAGCTAATAAAGTTTATTTTTATTTTTTATAATTTACTTTATTATGGTCATGTATATATGTTATACATTATATAAGATATATATGAATTTTAGATACATTGAGACATTGGTCCTTAATCGTTATTATTTTTGAATAAATATTAGATCACTCTTTTGTGAACTATATTGAAAAATTTCGAGATAACATAATAGCATATAAGTGAGTATAATTCTCATGATCTTATAAAATTAAATTAGTATCTCATAATTCTAACAATAAATTTTGTTATTATTATTAATTAATATATATATATATATATATATATATATTAATAACTACTTAACTTTTATATTTTTATATAATATTTTTAAATATATTATTTATCATTTAAAATAATATTAGTTATTATTTTCTAAATTATTATTATTATTTTAGATTTTATATAAGAAGACTTAGTTAAAAGAATAATTTCAATTTATCATTATTTTCTAAACACACACTTTATGTGCTCTTTTATAAGAAAATTACTTTCATCCAATTTAGAAACATAATTCGAAAACCGTTTTTCACAGTCTAATCTCATATGCTATTGCGAATCTTCAGTTCCATAAGAACCGTCACAAATGGTGATTACATACCTGGACAGATAGCCAGAATATGAGTGAACTGAACTCAATGACCAAGATTATAAATAGTTGTACCAAATATTGTTGAAATGTAAAATTAATATTTTTTATTCATATTAGTCTTTTGCCTTTCGAATAAATGATGTTAATTTATTGATATGACACGTTAAATTTAAATTATACCTCAGCTGTCAATTTTTTATTTTTTTATTTTTTTATGTGGCTCTCATGACAATGTCTTAAGATGAAGTATCGTGAAACTACTTCTTTTAACTTCGAATAGGACTTTTCGGCTACTTCTCAAATTACACTAATTAAGCAAGCTTCTTCCATGCTAACATGCAAAAGCAAAATGTCTTCAATCCAATCAATGAATTGTTTCTTGCACATCCAGTTTTTCTTGCATTAATAATGAAAATAAGTTTTTAAGAGTTTTACTTTTTGGAAAGATAAAATTCAGAATATATTAAAAAGCTTCCAACTTATATGTTTTAAAAATCATTTTAAGAAAATAAATTTGGAACGAAAATTTCAAAATACATCATTTATAATTAATTTTTAACTATTTTGGTCAGATCATTCTAAAATTCTTCATAATAGAAGTTTTCTATATATAATAATTTTATTCAAACTATTATTTCAAAATATTCATCTAATAAACATAAAATTTGAAATCTTTGGATACCTAAGTGCAATGAAAGATATCTTTACTGGTTTATGTGTGCTCTGGTTAAACTCGTTTGCTGAAAGTGTCATTCCATAATGATAACTATATCATAAAGTGTTTCAGTACAAATACCAAAAATAATTAAATAGTAATTCTGAATTAGGTATAACAATGTTTATTTCAAATTCCTCAATTTAAAATTAATTTTTTCATAATGCATCATCCAAAAGCTTTGAAATCATTTTCCAGAAAATATAAAAAGGTTTAAAAAATCATTTCAGTCAGTGTACTATAACATATGAAATCTTTCATAGTGTTAATAACTCATTTCATTTCAATTTTTTATTCTCTACATTAGTGTGATGTCTTGGTATCATGTCCAGCGATGATCATACCAGAATCCAGTCATAGGAAGCTAATCAATATTGGACAGAGGCCTTGAAAACATTACACATTTCAAAACATGAAATGGAAAGTGAACTTCATCAATCACATGGAACTTGAAGCTGTTTTTCCCTCTTCAAGAAATACAACAAGGTTAACTTGTAATGTTAGAAGATTCCACAAATTCTTGCCTGATTAAGATGCAACCAGAGCTCAAAAGCTCATCAAGAAGAGAACAGTGTCAATTTATACATCAAGAAGATATTTTCTCTACTTTGTCACTTCAAAAGTAGCTCGAAGATTGGATATCATGACTGGGCATTCTCCCTTCTCGTCATACTCAGCATATTCTCCACTTGATAAGTCAACATTCTCAAACTTGGTTCCCTCAAGCTATAAAAGTTTAAATTGCATTAACTAAAAATAGGACCAACATGCAGAAAATTATGATATCACCAACATTCATAGCACGTGTGAAAAATATGGCAATCGAGTAGAATATAGGATCAGGGTACAGTTGTTACAACCATTAAGAAATGCCATAAACAAAAAGAAGGGGGAGAAACGGAGGAGAAGATATTACAGAAATTTGATGGAAAATCTGATATTGTACAATTTTGAATGATATTTAAGAGGGTAGAGAAATTCATCCCAGTTTTAAGTTTTTAGAAAAAACATGGTTTCCAGGATTGGTAAAAGTGTACAAAATAAATCGAATCATTAATAGTAAGCATCAAACCAAAATCATACGAGGAGAGAAGTGGGTATATGAGCTATTTACAGTACCCAGCTTTATATATCAGCAACATTGAACAATAAAATGAGATCAGAGACATGATGCCATTAAGCAACTGATATTTATTTCAATAGAAAAAGGTGGGTGTATGAGCTTATATATAAGATACAAACTACTACGCTTATATATCACCAGCAACAATGAACAATCAGAAGAGATCAGAGATATGACACCGAAAAATTGGAAACGCAGCATAAAAAATGAATAGGATACTCACCGATTCAACTTTCCATCCGTCACGGAATACAAAATCTACTGGCTCATAGCCCCTGCAGTCAAATAACATCAATGGGGCGGACTTCCCCGATTCAGTGATTTCCTGGGTGAGTGGTTTACCTTTGCCTGGGATCATGGTCACAGTGCCATCCCTGCCACAAAACTTGCACTGCATACCAAATAAAGAATATTAAGAAACCACCAGCTGCAGGAGCAATCAGTTTAAAGAATCACTAATGAAAGAAAATACTGCATTGAGTGCTTATCATTTTAAAGTTATGCAGCAGAATCACATTAAATTTCCCAGAGCCTTTTCTCCTAAGTCAGAGACAGAAAAAAGCTGATAAGCAAAAGCCCAATCATACTAAACTGAGTATCATTTCCTTGGTGTTTCTTTAATGCTCTTGTGTCATATTTGGATAAAATTCATCATAATTACATATGAGAAGGTAAAAGAATTATGTTTATCACATAAGCTAAAATAAACTTATACATTTAACTTCCACAAAAGCTCGTTTCATTTAACTTCTCCAAAAGCTAAGATACATAAGTTGACTTTAGATTATAAACAAGTTCAACTCATTCTATCTCTTGTTCACCTAGTTGAAAAAAGAAGTCAATGACGCATAACAGTGAAGATTGCGAATAATAGTATAGTGGATAGTTCGCTTGCCTTTTCTACCGTTCTTCAGTGCATCATATAAATACACAAAAAAAAAAAAAAGAATAAAAGGGATAGACTTTAAAATTATATATCTATAAAAGTAAACACAGTATTGTCAAATGAGAAAAACAGTTCTTTAACAGCCAATGAAATAAAAAAATGTTATGCATTGATAGTGTAAGATTACATTAATGGTATCTTTATATTGTCCACTATCTATAAACCACACTACCGACCCCAAAAAAAATCATAAACCACACCAAGTTTGATGGGTGTTACCATAGTCATTAAAAGTCACACCAAGAATAGTTTATAATTGGACAACATGTGAAATTATTGGACAGGTGTGCATGACTATTAAACTCTTCCTCAAAATATATAAAGAAGAAAATCACAAGTGTGAGATTAGTAGTTCCTAAAGCTATTAATTTAGATGAGGAGTGCCAGGATAAATTTTATTCAAAAACATCAGAAGAGAGTTGTTAAATTTTAAGCTTTCCGACAAATTTCATAAGAGGGCATGTGTTTCAAAGTAAGTTCCTCGTAAGAACTAGAACTAAGAAATGTACATACTTGACAGACTCATGCGAGAATTAATTACCATTTTTCAGGGACTATAAAATCGACGGATTTATTGAATTGAGTGACGAACAAAAAAAGTGATTTTGATGAAACGCAGGCACAGGGCGAATTAGGTTACCTTTTGAATGAGATGAGTGGTGCCCTTGCCAACCGGAAGAGGAACGGTGTCGTTTAAGAGGACGCATGTTTCTTTCTGGCTGAGTTCTCCGCATCTCCCGCATTTCAACTATTGATTGCAACAACAAAATCGAAATTGAAGAAAAAAAAAGGAAAAATTAAAATTGAAAATTGAAAATTAAAAGGAACTGAAGATGTTGAATTTGATTTAGGGGAAGAGATGAAGGAGACAGAAAAGGACCTTGAAGAGGTAAGAGAAGTTGGGGTCGTCGCAGCCACCTTGGGGTTGAAGATTGGTGAGATTTTCAAGCTCCGCAGTGATCATCAAGGTGAAGTTCACCATTTCTTAGTTCCTCTGTCTCGCTCTCGCTCTCGCTCTGATACAGTAACACTTTGATTTGGGTTTTGGTGCTTTTGATTGGAATCAACGAATGGTTCTCGACTCTGTCAAGAAAATAATTATTGTGAATAAACGTAACATTATATTTTTTTTAATGGAAATTAAGTATAATCATTAGAATTTCTTCTCAAAAGAAAAAAAAAATTATCATTGAACCTCCTTATTATTAACAAATTTATAAATATACAGAAAAAAATTGAGGAAAATATCGAAGTTTTGAAATAAAAAATAATAATAAATGAGGAAATTGAGGTCAAAAAATAGAAATTGAGATGAAAGAAAATATAAAAATTGATGATACTTAAAAATGGAGAATATAAATAATTGAAGGATAAGAAAAAATGGTATAACTTAAGATAAAAATGAATGAAAATGTATAAATTGAAAGTACAATCCATATTAAAGTTAAGAAATAAAAGATTAAGAGTTCATTAAAAAAAAAAAGGAGACATCATAATCGAATAAAGAATCGAAGTTTGATGAAAGATTTATAAATACGTTGGTGAAGCTGAATAGTGTTATCAGTTATGAGTTGAAAACTGAGAAAAATTAAGAAAGAACCAAAAAGATGTCGAGAAAGATTTATTGAAATACAAAGATTTAGAGGAATCGAAGATTTTGAATCAAAGTTTTTAAGATATTGATAAACAAATTGTACCAATATCATATAATTGAGGAAAATAAGACATCGACAAATGATTATGCAATATTATGACTCCATTACGCGACATGAACGTTATAAGTACTACGTGATAAATGAGTAACTTGAGAAAATAGGGGAGTGACTATAAGAAAAAATAACAAATTTTTATTTTGTCTTTTATTTTATATTTTACTAGCGGATACAGAAGGAAAAATATAAATAAGGTGAAAATAAGTATAATAGGGACGATTGTCAAATTGTACGAACACTTACATTCTGAAAAATGCTATGAACACAAGACAAACATTTTCAATGAAGTTATTTGCAATTTGGATTGTCATCTTCATTGATTTATTTTACAAATTTTTGTTTCATCTTTGGTAATGAGTTAGATTTATTTTCATATAATTTACTTTCCTTACACACTTACCTTCTTGGACATTTATCTTTCTCATATTTTACTTTGAATATTGGAACTTATATTAAAATTCAAATTCAAATTATATACAAAAGATCACTAGTAGAAATTCACGTCATATTAATTATTGAGTGATTAATGATAATCAAATTATATACAAAAGGATTCTTTAGATTGAAAAACGCCTACACTTGTTAGTCAAGATTAAAAGAATCCACATAGTGATTAAAGTGGTTCATCGCAGAAATACTTAAATAGGTAAAACTTAATCAAACAACGAACCATTTTATACTAGAAACAAATTGGCACGCCTATTGAGACTACTATTGTTATTGATTAGTAGCTAGAGAGAATTTAGATGAGAACAATGTATGATATTGAGAAGTGGTAGAGTAATTATGGCAAGTCAAAATACATATAATTCTACATTAATATCCAGCACTACACCTAATATTACTCATCAAAATAATGAAAGGTAGAATATAGGTACTAGGCATAATGGTGTGAGTGAGAATGTTCAAGGCAATATAACGTATTAGAATAACAATAATAATCAAAGTAATGAAGGGATATTAGTAATGTAACTAACAGGTAATCCCGTAAGTGCTTATGTTAGGCTACATGTAACTACAAATAAACCTATTATGTTAGGAGGGCATAATACAAATGGAAGTATATCAGTACAAAGAAATAGTCAAGGAGTACCATTAGCAGAGTGATACCCATGGGGAATGCCTCCATGGTAGCCAACCCCAAATTCCATTAGAATGAATGAGTGAAGTTAGAATCAAATTAGATTGGGGAATAATAGGGAGTTTAATAGAAATCAACTCGATATAAAAAATTTAAGTATAAGAATATCAAGTAGTTCATTAGAAGTGATAAGGCAACAAATAGATGATAGTAATCATGAAATGATAAACTTGTTGTCTTAGTAAATGAATTCAATGTTAAAACTCCTATTACAAACTACAACTGATAGTTTTCAAAGGTTAGCCGAACAAATGGTTACAATAGGGGGATGTACTTGTCATTCCTAGGAGGAATAACTTAGATAATAACAATTTACAAATAGAAAATAACTAAGACGAACATCAAGGTCAAAATAACCTTCGAAACATTCAAGGAAATCAAAATCAAATAAGAAACGTTCAAATGGTCGATAGGGGCCAAGATGCAAATCATGTGCAAATATGGAATAATGTACGAAAAAATAATCAAAATAATGGGAATTATCAACATAATGCTTATAATCAAATTTTAGGACAATGGAATAATCAACCCAATGTGGGGATGAGATTATATAATCAATCATATTTTATTTCACCATTTTCTGATTTTATGCTTGAACCTAAACTTTCTTGAGGACAAAAAGTACCAAAATTTACAAAATTTTCAGGTGATATTGGGAAGTCCACTTTAGAACATATTACAAGATATCAAATTGAATGCAAGAATATTTCAGCAAATGAACATTTAATAATAAAATATTTTCCTAGTTCCCTGGAAAAAAATGTTTTTACATGGTTCACAACACTCCCTCCTAATTTGATATATAACATGACACAATTAGAGAGGATTTTTCATGAACAATTCTTTAGAGGAGAAACACAAGTCATTCTTATTGATTTAATGAATGTAAAAATATCATAATGAATGTATTGATAATTATTTGAACATATTCAGACAAACAAAGTCTAGATGTTTTATGCAAATACCCGAGAGTGAATTGGTGAGAATGGCAGCCACAGAGTTAGAATTTTTAATAAGAAAAAAATTAGTTAATTTACCCTTGAGGGATATGACTCAATTAGCATATAAGGTTTGAAGAATCGAACATATTAAGTATGAAAAAGAGTGATATCATAAATTTGGAAAGTAGTGAAAAAAGATAAAATTGGATACATTAGTACTGACACATCTAATAATGAATTTCCTGATATCTGAGAGGTAGATGAAGTTGAGGGATCAAGTGAAAATGAAGAAGTAAATGTTGCTGAAATTAAAGTAGGTCCAATTTATGTTTGCAAATTGTTACAGAAAAGTGAAATTTCAGATAAAATGGCAAACCGAACTTACAATTTTGATGTATCTAAAGTAGATAAGATTTTCAATATTTTGCTAAAAGATAAATGAATAAAGTTGAGTGATGATCATAAGTTACCTACTTTCGAACAAAAGAAAAGGAAGAAAATATTGTAAATTTCATAATATGTGTGGTCATTAGACTAATAACTGTATCTATTTTAGGCATTCAACATAAGATGCCAGCGAATAAGGTAGGATGACGTTTGAAGAAAAATTAATGAAGGTGGACACTGATCCTTTTAAAGCTCGTGTCGGATATGTGGAGGTAAAGTTTAACACTACTGGTGGTGTTGAGAGAATTGATAATAATATGGAATTTACATGGTGGATATTACCTCTGATAATGTTAATCCTCGCCATGTGAAGCTCGATGGTGTTGACGAGGACTTTAAGTTAAAGTTGTTTGGATTTTGAAATCGAGAATGAGATATATCTTAAAGTGGATGATACTTTGATAGATTTTTTAAATAGAAACAAAGATAAGGATAAGGAAGTTGTCTTATGCCCGAGATGTAATGTTGTGTTTGATAAAGCTGGTACTAAGAAATTTGAATTAAATAAAAAGACCAAAGAAATCGAGAAGAAGAAGCAACAATGTGTTAAATATCAAGAGCAAGAGCTTTAGGTTAGAATGAAGGAAAACCAAAAACAATACAAAAGCTTCTTATCCTATGCAAAAATAAATAATAATGAGTGGGTAAGACGAAGAGTATTTCACCATTGAGGTATGTATGGTTCAAGAAATCAAAAAGTGTTTGATAGATTATCATATAACCCAGATTTTTATGCTAGTTACCCTAAGTATCTAAAAGAGTTCCATCAAGGAGGTCCCTCGTTGAGGGATAATGTTTCACAACCATTTTGGGAGAGTAGTGAAAGTTGGACCCATGGATAAATGTGGATTGAGCCAAGGTGATCAAGTGTACTTAGGTACCTTGATTAATCAAGGAGAAGGGTTGAGTGCAAATCTTTGCCAAGGAAATATCAATGTTGGAGTGATATCGATTTTGCCCAATCAATACACAAATTGATATGAAGAGAATTAGAGGATACAAGATTCAAGTCGAGAGGACTACTATGAACCAAATCTTCAACCCAAAGTTGTATGGGTCACTCAGGTATCATGTGAGTCATGTCATCGAGATGTTGCTCTTATTAATCCACCTAATAAAGAAATGATGTTCCACTCGAAGCCTCTTATGTTAAAGATAGAGATTGAATATGTTATAGTGAATAAAGTCCTCGTCGATGGAGGAGAAGTAGTAAATATTTTGGCAAAGTCGATGTTGAAGAGGTTTGGTAAGAATGAAGAGGACTTGATAAAGAACAACAATTTAGTATTAGATTTCAATGGAAAGTCGTTGAGTTCAGAAGGGATGATAACTCTCGATGTAATAGTGGGAAATGATGGGGACATGACTATGAGCAAGGGTAAGGATCCACTTGAAGGACTTGGAGGACCTATGATAAAGGTTAGAGCAAGGGAAACAAAAGAGATTCTTCAACAAGTGTTGTCCATATTATTTGAATACAAGCCTACATTTCAAGGTGAAAAGACCAAAATTGTGAATTGCATCATGGTCGAGAAAGACCAAAATCGTATTAATTTGGCTATGAACGACTGTCCACCCTACATGGACAGCCGTCCATGGCCACTTTTTACCATGGACGGCTGTCCACTTTTCCTGCCGCGGTTCCCTATAAATAGGTCATCATTTCTCACTTTTCCACACACCTATCCACTCCTACACTCTCTAGGAAGCCTTTTGACACTTTAGAGTGACTCTGAGCATTATTCTAGAGTTCGAGTGAGCTTTCCAATTTCTGTTTAAGGTAGAAATCGGTTAAGGAAGTCTCCTTTTGAGACATCCGACCCTCGGTAGGGTGGTACTCTTATTTTTTGTTCAAGGGAGGAGTGACTCTGAAGAGTGCGGGGACTGCCAAAAAGCGTCTTCAAGTTCGAGATTTATAAAAGTTCGCTTCGGAGGTTCTCCTTCATATCTCTTCTCTTTTACTGCTTTCTTTATCGCTTTCTTTGTATGCATTAGATAATAAGGTCATGTAAACATTTAAATTCTGCAAGTAGGTAAAATAATAGGGTAAAAGCATAATTTCTTTAAGTATTTATTTTCTAAACTAGTCCATCTAGGGAACCCGAAAGGGGCAATGTGGGGTACTAACACCTTCCCCACACATAACTAACTCCTTTACCCGACTCTGGTTGTAATTGCCAAAGTTGGTTTTTTCTAAAACCAATACCTTCTTCTTCTTTTCTTTTTTTGTTGTTTATGGTAAAAACATCGATGACAACTCCCTTGAACCTTTTTGAAAACCTCGCCTTTAGGTCCATCCCTGTTATCGGACAACCTAAAGGCGTTGAACCACTTATGTAAAAAACGCGAGTCAATCAAAACCATCGCGTCGCTTCGACTGCCTCTTTTGACGGCGGCAACAAGGATAATATCAAAATTGTATCTTGATAACAAAAATTTCAAAAAGCTCTTATAGTGGGTTGTGTCAGCTTTATATTGTTTAGGGTGTCGAGCAACTAGGCTAACACCCTCCATGGATAATGAAGGAATTGGTCTTAAAGTAACCTCAAATGTTGGAAGAAGATATTCAAAAATAGACACCATCCAAAATTGTATAAACTAGGAGGGTCTAGAGAGATTGCCACCGAGATGATTCGATTTTAGTACATCCACGACTTCAGCGAAAGCTGAATAAACATGGGATAAAAACAATATAGCCAAGCAAATAGGTGGCAAGCCTTGATGTAGAAGATACGCTAGATTGAAGTAATGTTGTGAAATTTGGATTGTGCGGGAACAAAATCTTGTGTACATAACCAATACATAAGAAAAGTGTCGTGCTCTTCATAAAAAATAATGTCTAAATTATCAACAATATGTTCTTGGAGGAAATGGTTGTAAGCTATTCTGTTCCATCATATTTTGGACTCGAGCTCTTTGCCCGCGGGAAGGATGTTATAAAATACTTCTCTAACAGGTTCGAGACCTGTAATGGTGGTGATGTCAAGGAGAGTGAGGGCAATTAAGTCAAAAGGAAGTTCCATTGAGTTAAGGTCTTTAATCCAAAGTTGAACTGCAGGAAGGAACATTGACATATCAAAATGTCCAATGTCATACCGAGAGAGGTAGAGTAAATCAAAGATTCCTATTTTCTTCCAATGTGCTCCAAATTTGGTTTCTACCATTTCAAACCACTTAAGGTATGAAGGTTTTTTTCTGGGTTGGTCTAGAATGATAAACCTTGGAAGATTGAGGGAGGAAATCTATTTTAAATTGATCATCTTCTTGTTGCAAGATGGACTTTCCTTCTTCAGTCGAAGGGAAATATGCAGGCTCATTAGGATCAAGGATCATAGGACCCCCAAAAGCATAAGGGATGCCTCCCACAGAATAAGGAATCAATACCTGGGTTGAACAGATTTTCTTCGACTCTTCTTCCAAGACGAGTACAGGGGCAAAGGTTTTGTCATTGATCTCAACGAATGTGAAGGAATAGTAGTGAGACCATATGTTTGAAAAGTAATAGAAGATGAAGACATAATGATCAAATGTGAAAAGGGTGAAGGTTTGGGAAGTGTAGGAGGGAAGGAGAAAGCTTGGAGGTTTGAGAGTTGTAGGTAGTAGTGTAGAGGTGGTGAATTTTATGAAAAATGCACTGAAAGTGGACAATGTGTTTAGGCCCATTTGCAAAGTTCCTTGAAAGTAGAGACGTATGTGCACAATACACTATGTCTAACACACCTCAACAAAATGGTGTTGCTAAAAGCAAGAATTGTACTTTAATGGATATGGCTTGGTTTATGCTAAGTTATAATACTATACATTTATCTTTATGGATGCATGCCTTAAAAACTGTTATATATTTGCTTAACAGGGTTCCTAGTAAGGCAGTTTCTAAGACTCCCTATGAATTGTGGACAGGAAGAAAACCCAATTTAAGACATCTTCATATTTGAGGTTATCTAGTAGAAGTAAGAGTGTATAATCCACATGAAAAGAAGCTTGATGCGAGAAATGTTAGTGATTTCTTCATTGACTATCCTGAAAAGGCTAAAGAATACAAATTATATTGTCTTAACCATAGTATAAGAATAGTTGAGTCTGGTAATGTTCAGCTCATTGAAAATGGCCAATATAGTGGGAGTGAGAAATCACAAAAGGTGAATATTGTAAAAACTCATGGTGAATCTCCTTCACCTAATGCTTCTTATAAGGATGTTGTTTCTCTAGTTGTGTTACGACTAAACAACAATAGGAGACAAAAAAAATGGTATCCAAAATCCACAAGATGAACATATGAACAATGTGTAAGTCACTAATGAACAAGTGATAAAAGAGACACATGAAATAACACCAAGATATTTTGGAAGGCACGGAAGACAAACTATTTCAAGTGACTTCATTGTATATTCACTTGAGCATGAATGTGAATTGAGTGTTGATGATGATCCAGTCTCAGTTAAACAAGTCATGAAAAGTGACAATTCAGAAAAGTGGCTGAATGTTATGAAAGAAGAACTGAAATCAATGGATGACAATAAAGTATGGGATCTAGTTGAATTGCCTAAAGATTCAAAAAGAGTCGATTGTAAATAGGTCTTTAAGATCAAACGTGACTCAAAAGGCAATATTGAAAGGTATAAAGCTAGATTAGTTGTCAAATGTTTCACTCAAAAGGATGACATTGACTACAAAAAAACCTTCTCTCCTATTTCTAAAAAGGACTCTTGTTAAAGGGTTAATTGAGTATAAATTTCATTAAGAAACTCACCTTTATTAGATAGCATTTGCATCTTTTTCTTGTATATTCAACCTTAAAGAGCATAAAAATCATGAGAAGATATTCTCAAGTAACTATTCTCCCAAGTTGTTCTTTGATTCAGGATTTGAAGGAAGATAAGAAATATTGGAAAAATAGAATCCGCTCAGCGCAGTAAAAGATGCGCTCAGTGGATTTGCCAACGAGAAAAGTTCCAATAAGAGCCAAAATTCGTCCAGCGCCTCAGAGATGCGTCCAACAGATTGGACAACGAAATCCCCTCTAATGATTTTAAGGATCCACCCAGCGCATTTAAGGAGCGCCCAGCGGATTCCACTCTCTTTAGACCTAATTTCTATTTAAGAATAAAAAGAACAGTAGGGGAGGAGATAGTCAGACGAGGGAGAAAGGAAGAAAAGACGCTGGGAGCTCGTGGGAACGCATATCCACTTGAATCCAATCAGTTATTATTGTAATTTCTTCTCCTTCTACTCTTTTTTGTAATGGGTTCCTCCATGAGGGGCTAAAACTCTTTGGGTTGGATTACATGTAACTACTTTCAGAACATTTCTCCATATATATGATTTTTGTTTGCTACAGTTGTGTTTGATTCTATTCTTAATGCTTTCTTCGGAGTGATCAACCGATTTCCGAGGGTTTTGATTGTGTTGAAAAATGTTTTCATTAACCGGAAATGGATCAAATGCTTGATAGACAACCTATCTAGGAATAGAAGGAATGGAAGTGTGTTTATTAATCACATTAATCTCAAGATCTTTTCGTAAGGCAGAGTGTTGGGTTTGAACTGTTGAGGAATCACATTCAAGGTTAACATCCTAGGACTTGGTTTCAAGGAATCGGGCTAAGTTATATACTGAGAGTGAAACTGTAAAATAGAAATGATATAGTTAGGAAATAGGGTTGGAAGCAAGTGCATGTAATTCAATCTACTTTATTTATAATCACTTTTCGTTTTACTAAATATTGCACTTATTTTTAGTTGTTTGTCTCACATCATACTTTCGATCCATGATGATAACTATATCTTGTCTGCAATATCACTAAGTCACAAATCCCTATGGACGATAATTCTTTACTACATCGAAACTTGGTACACTTGTCGGGTAATTTGAATCCATCAGTGAAAATAACAACAACTCTTTGAGAATTGTTTTGCCTTTGGTAACTCCTTATGATTTATAACTTCACCAGATGGATGTAAAGACCGTCTTTCTAAATGATGAATTAGAGAAAGAAATTTATATGGATCAACCTAAAGGTTTTGTTTCAATAGAAAAGAAAAACATGGTGTGTAAATTAAAGAAGTCAATATATGGACTAAAACAAGATTCTAGACAATGATATCTCAAGTTTAATGATATCATCACGTCATATGGTTTTGTAGAAAGCAATGTTGATCGGTGTATCTACATGAAGGTTAGTAGGAACACGTTTATAATTTTAGTCCTATAAGTTAATGATATTCTACTTGCTACTAATAATGTTGTCATGTTACATGATGTAAAGAAGTTTCTCTCTAATAACTTTAAAATGAAAGATATGGATGAGGCATCCTATATGATAGGAACATAAATATTCTATAACAAATCATAAGGATTGTTGTGATTATCTCAGAAATCATATATTAACAAGGTATTAGAGATATTCAAAATGGAAAAGTGTTCTGCAAGGATTGTTCCAATACAAAAAGGTGTCAAGTTTAATCAAATGTAATCTCCAAAAAATAAATTGGAACGTAATGAGAATAAATTTATTCCTTATGCATCAATGGTTGGGAGTTTGATGTATGTCTAAACATGTACTCGGTTAGACATTAATTTTATTGTGGGAATGTTGGGTTTATATCAAAGCAGTCCTAGAATATAACACTGGAAAGTTGCAAAGAAAGTTCTTAGTTATTTACAAGGTACGAAGGATTACATGCTCACTATAGAATGTTGGACCACCTTGAAGTGACTAGCTATTTGGATTCAGATTTTAATGGATGTGTGGACTTAAGAAAATCCACATTTAGATACATCATTATTTTGGTTGAAGGAACGATATTATGGAAAAGTGCACAAAAATTCGTGATTGCAACTTCTACCATGGAACCCGAATTTGTGACATGCTTTGAGACCACAATTTAAACATTATGGTTACAGAACTTTACATTGAGGTTTTGTATTATTGACAGTATAGCCAGCCCATTCAGGATTTATTGTAATAATTTTGCAGTTTTTTTTTCAAAGAATAATAAATACTCGAAAGGAGCAAAACATGTGGATTTGAAGTATTTATTAGATAAAGAGAAAGTACAAAAGCAAAGGTGTCAATTAAGCATATTAATACAAACTTAATGATAAAAGATTTGTTAACTAAAGGTTTACCACCCAAGTCATTCATTGATCATGTTGACAGAATGGGTATAATGGATAAATCCTTGTTAATAATGTAATTTGGTGTGTGTGTGTGTATATATATATATATATATATATATATATACACACACACACATTATGGTTGTAATGTTTGACACTTGTTATTAATTAGTAGACGTTTCTGTTGGTTCTATCATTCACATTACTTGGTATACATTATTGTTTTATTTAGTTAAATGACAAAATGTATCTTTGTAAGGGATTGGAGATATATTATAGTTTCATTAAAGCTATGTTAGATTATTTGTGATACATGGAAAGAATTTTGTTATTGGATAACTTGCAACAACTATGATCCAATCTTCTAGCTTAAGTCAATGGATGATAATGACTTATTAAGTTTAATGTATGGTATGTACTTAAAAATTTAATGTTGAATCTTCAAGTCATTACATAAGCAAGTGGGAGAATGTTAGATTATTTTAATATAATATTGACTCATGTAATTTATAAAAAAAACTTTAATGTAAAAGTTTCTAATGTGATGATTATTAGATTATAACTATATTAAAGTTATAAGAATTATTTTAGAGTTATTAAAATCAAATCCCTCTCTTCTCACTTTATTAAGGGTATTATGATATTTTAATAAATATTTTAAAATAATAACTATAAGTTATATTACGACCTTTTTCTTTGGAAGATTAAAAGTCATGTTTCTGAACAATAAAAAACAAGTGACTTTGATAGAAGAAGGGGTTAAATTGGACACATTTTATATCATCAAGAAAGTAATAAAAGAAAGTAAGAGAAATGAAAATATCTATCAAGAGATCTTTTGCAATGCATCAAGGTATATTCTTAAACACTTCTAATAATATATTTATGAGAATCATATATCTTAAGGTTCTTATGAAATAGAATAATTTCTTGAATTGAATTAGAATATTTGAAACTACAAGATTACAATTATAAGAAAAGTAACCATTTTATTTTATTTGTCTTTTATTTTATATTTTACTAGCGGTTACATAGGAGAAAATATAAATAAGGTGAAAATAAGTGTAATAGGGGTGATTGTCAAATTATACAAAGACTTACATTTTGAAAAGCATTACGAACACGAGACCAACATTTTTAATAGAGTTCTCACAATTTGGATTGTCTATCTTCATTGATTTATTTTACAAAATTTTATTTTATCCTTAGTAATGAGTTATATTTATTTTCATATAATTTACTTTCCTTTCATATTTACTTTTATCTTTCTCACATTTTACTTTAAATGTTTGAACTTATATTAAAAATTCAAATTATATACAAAAGATCACTAGTAAAAATTCACGTTATATTAATTATTGATTCATTAATGATAATCAAATAAGTAAAAGGATTCTCTAAATTGAAAAGCATTTACTTACTAATTAAGAGATTTATCGCGAAAATACTTAAACAAGTAAAATTTAAATTCGAACAATAAACCATTTTACACTGAAAAACTCTTCTTTTAAACTAATAAATTCTACTTAACAAAATAATCAAGTGGTTTAATTTAGAACACAAAAGAGTTATAAATGAATAAAAAATTATGTTATCTCTTAAATTAGATTAATTTATTTTTTTAATAATAAACTTGATAAATTATAAATTATTTTTTTAATTAGGTAAGAAACAATAAATTATTTATATTCATTATTTATAAATATTCTAATTATTATTAAAATAATAACCATCAACAAAAGAAAAAGCTATTTTCAAGATACTATTTTCTATTTAAGAATTTAAAGTCATGTTGAGTCGTTACAAATATATTATGAAAAAAATAATATTAATAATTTTGTGTCTAGAATCTTGATTTAAATAGGGGGAAATTTTATTATCTTTCAACTTGTCCAGAGAAAAAATAAGTTCCATTTCTATTGACAAAAATAATTTAATTTATAATATTTTCTCTTAAATGTATGTCGTTCTTATCATTCATCATCGTACAATTTTAGTCTCTATTAAATATTTGTAGATTTAAGCATAACACTATTTATTCTGCACCTATATTTATTTTAAAAGAGAATATTATATCATTTGTTTTGGTATTTTGAAGTGTTCGAATTGATAAATTTAAAAAAAAAAAAAAGCTTCTGAATTAAGTATGGTTTGATTTTACAATTTCTTAACACCAATAATTATAATTTAATTTTAAAACTTAGGTATATAAACCCTAAATCTTCTATTTCTATTATTTAAAATTAATAAGTAACTTTCAACCATAATTATTTACCGAAAAAATATTTTTACAATTATTTAACTAAAAATAATTTTACAATTACTTAACAGCCACTACAGATATAATATAATTTAAAAATTTGTGCATATAAACTCAAAATCTTTCAAGTTTTATTATTTAAAATTAATACGTTAAATTTTAACCTTTACTTAAAAATATTCTTATTTGTTAAAAAAAAGTAATTTTATAATTATTTAAGTACAAATTATTCTTATATAGTAAGTTACCTTAAAGTAGTAATCTAAAAATTAATTTTACTACTATAATCTAATTTAAAGATAATGATATATAAATTCTAAACCTTTTATTATTTAAAATTAATAAGTTAACTATTAATCATAATTATTTTTAAAAAATATTTTTATAGTTATCTTCTAAAAAATATTTTCATATTATTTAACTAAAAAATATTTTTATAATTATAATCCTTAAACTCTTGTAATTATTAATAATATCAAAAACTCATCTTCACATTGAAATTAAAAAAAATCAATTTTTAAAAATTATTATTATAAAAATATATTATCACATAATTAAAATAAAGTTACATAAAATATAATTTTAAAACTACATTTAATATTTTTTTATTACTAATATTTAAATCAACATGATATGGTATTAATAAAAACATGAATAAAGAAATATATTAAGACTTTAAAAATATTATATGTTTTTCAAATTATCATTTATACATATACATGTAGTCCCCTATTATCTACCTATTTGCTAGATTACTTCGTATATTACTAATTAGTTTTATGTTAAAATTTTAACATGTTATTAGAGTCTAAGCTTAATTTCTTTTTAGTGGTTGTCTTGAGCCAAGAGTTACTTTTTGATTGTCGGTTAAAAAAGTAGTATCATTTGTCATTCCTATATTGATCATATGTTTGAACCATAACATCTTAAAATTTGTGAGATACATAACTCAATCCTACAAAATCGATCTTAAAGATTGGGAAATACATAACTCAATCATACAAAATCGGCTACGATGAGGATTGTCCTTACATATATATTATAATATAATCATATATCTAATCGATATAATTAATATTTCTCAATATTAAAGATTTTTCATCATACCCCTCACATTCCTCGTGTCGAGGAGGAATATTTTTTACTCATTTCAATCTTCAAAGTTCAACCTTAATTTATAATGTCATCAAATCTTTATAAATAAATATTATTCTTTAAAAAAATTTAATAATAATCAAATAATATAAATATAAATTAATAAATAAGGATCAGTATATAACTAGAGATAAATCGATAAATATTAAATAGGACAACACATAAATAGACATAAATAAATAAATATAAAAGAAGTCTCATGCATAACTGAAAAATATAAATACAAAAATAGAAAATATGATAAGTGCATAACTGAAAATAAATAATTAAATATAGAATATGATCAATGTGAAACTAGAAATAAATAAAATATGACTAATATGTAACTGAAGATAAATAAATATAAAAGAATAAATAAAATGAGATAAGAGGCATCTCATTCTATCATCATAATTAAAAATAAAATAAATAAAATAATAAATGTTTCTTTTTCCTACATTTAACAATTACATATAATATATCAAAATTTTATAAAAATATTTTATTTTCTCTTTCTCTCTCCTTTCTTCTTCTTTTTTTCTTTTTTTTTTCCTCATTTCATCTCCCGCTCCACTCTGATCCTTTTTATATCCAAATTTTTTAATTTTCTTTTAATTTATTTTAACTGGCCTATCAAATACACTAATCATGATTTCAAGATAAAACTTATCTCTTACTGTACAAACAGATAAGTTAACCTTATTTTTTTTTAATTAATAATTATATATATATATATTAATAATTATTATTTAAAAAATTAGTAATTAATTTTTTTCTGTTTTTTTTTCATAAATTAAACAATAATAATAATAATTTTATAATAAATTCTTGTTTTAATATAAATATATTTAAATTATCTAATAATATAATTTAATACATTATATTTAAAAATTTATACATGATAAAATTTGAGATGTTACAAAACTGACTCAATAATATTAAGATTATATTCACCAAGTATACTATAATATGTTATTATTTATAGTCGATATCAGATATTTAACATAAATATAACTAAAATAAAATTCAGATGAAAAATAAATCATATTTTATATATTCATGTATATTAATATGAAAAAGATAACTAAACAACATAATCCAACATAATGGATTAGGGTTATTTGTACAATGGTTTAGGTTAAAGTACATGATTGAATATATTGACATGTATAATTAAGTAAACATAATTATATATATATATATATATATATATATATATATATATATATAGTTTAGTATTACTTTGAAAAGTAGGATATCATGGTATTATTATTGGAAAAGTAGGACTATATCCGCTGAATCTTTATTATTGATTTTAGAAGGATAAATAATATATTATTAATAAATAATAAATTAATATTAAAAGATAAAAAAAAAAAATTATAAATATACAAGTAAATATATATTTAATGATCGTTAAGTTTAATGGAATAAAATTATAAATATATATAAAAATTATAAAACTTTGAGAGATTCCCTCAATTTTTTTAAAAGATCACCCTTGAGAACAACACAAACCTATGAAAATGAATTTTAAGTACAACTTAGAACAACCAAGAATACATTACATTGATTCAAAACAAACAAATTGTACAAAAATTGTGTTGTATGATAGGGCTAAGAAAGTCATATGATATTGATGTATTTAATATTAAAAAAATATTAGGCTTCACGGATTCATTCAAACTTCCATAGTGTCATGTCTTCGTTTAACACACATGCAAGAATAAAATTATTTTAAGTAAACTTTAGTGGAGAAAGGGACAATGTGTCATTGTAGTAATGTAGCAGTTGCTTTGGTGGAGTGATAGGCTGAATATTAATGAATTTGGAAGAGAATATTTTGTTGAAAAATATATGCACAGTAAGGTCTCATGAACTCAAAATTTTGGAAATGTGGGGGTGCAGAGTTTTGTGAATTGAAATAAAATTTCAAATCTCAATCTAAAAGAGCTTTGTACACCTTATCTCTAATGACATCAATCATTGGCAATTTGTTATGGTGCTTACTAATGTCACGCAAAATCATAATAGTTGATAAGTGAGTGAAGTGTGAAATTTGGTTCCATGGTACTGACCAAAATCTCATAAAAATCTCAAATAATGACTTTATTTTATGATATTTGGTTCTTTTATTTATTAATCAAAACAAAATACAAGTTACATATTCAATTTGGTTCTACTTATATGTAAATGAGATAACATACATGTCTAATAATATACATATTAGTATGTAGTTTCTTTGAACTTTCAACTATCGTGTAAGGAAGTAAATATATATTCAGTCAATATGATTGATTTTAAGTCTAAACCATCTCCTCCGATAACAACAAAATGGGTCCACTGCATAAAATATTTTTTTATGACAGTTATTTTTATAATTTTGGTTTTCTGTGGGTTGTAAAGTCAACGTAATGATATAGTGAATTTATATTTCTTATGTAGGTTAAAATTTAAGTAACATAATAAATAATATTTTTTTATGTTAGTTAAAATTTAATTAACATAATAAATAGTATTTTTGGGACACTATTTAGTTCTAAACGAAACTAATGATTAGTAAGTTGTCCATGTTTGAGGATGTTAAGAAATAGAGTTAGTTTTTAATAAGTCTAGGCTGTATCTCTATATATTGCATGATTGCATATTTATATTTTTCTGTTCTCTATTTCTTCTTAACATAATTGGGCAAATAAATTCTTTTTAAGATCACTATTTTGAAAAACCAAAGAATCACATTATGAACATTAACTTTCGGTTTAAAAGAAAAATCCCAAACCTTTGTTTTCTTTAGTTCATCAACGAGATTCTCTTTTCAAAATTTTGGTTGGGTAGGAAGTGGCTGATAAATGAAGCATATGCATTTGCATGTTAATGATCATGATGTAAACATAAGTTGAATGACACATAGACGGTAACTCATGCAGACATCACTAGCTAACAATTATAGTTCAGCAGTTGATGTGTATAATTCATGACCTCACATCACCAATAAGCTGCATGTCTTCAATAACATCTCACTCTATGTTTGTCTTCCATTTCAGTTTTGTGGCTCACTTTGCAAGATTTAGTTGAACTTGAATGGGAAAGGTGTTGCACTTTTCTGCCATGGGAACCACAATCTTCATTTTCTTGGGGCTGGTAATTACAGTGCATGGTTTTGTGGACCATGGTGGCTCTTCATCAAGACACAAGATTTTAGAAGTTGAGAGAAAATTAAAGCATCTTAGAAGACATTCCTTAAAAACTATCCAGGTAATTAACCATAGTTTATTGGGTTTTTTCTTAATTTTGGGAAACATCTAATAGTTTGAGATTAGATATATACTAGAGAATATCATATATATGATTGGTATTTTTAGTCTTATAAATTAAAAAAAAAGTTATATCTTTAAGTACTAAATTTGACTAAATTAAATATTCTTTTAAAATTGTTTTTAACTCCTAAACAATAAATATAAAACACAAATATTACAATAGTTCAGAAATTTAGAAGATAAAAACTAAATTCATTCTAAATTTCAAAAATTAAATACATAACTAAAGCTTAATGCTATCATAACACTATTTTTTTTCATGCTTGTAGAGTGAAGATGGAGATGTAATTGATTGCATTGACATTAACAAGCAACCAGCCTTTGATCATCCTGCATTGAAGGGTCACAAAATCCAGGTCAGTCACATTTGATTCTTTGTTTATCACCATGATTTTGGTGTCTATAAAATATAGATTAGTTTGCTAGACTAAATAGAACTTCTACGTGAATCTGCATATATACATATATATCAGATGGTTCCCACTTATAATTCAGCTAAGGAGGACATAACAGTAGGGACAAGAGCTACTAGAAATAGAAATAATTCAAGGAGTGGGAAAGTGATGAATGAAAGGGATGAAGAGTTATCTCTGATTGTGACTTCACAAGTGTGGCAGAAGAGTGGAAAATGTCCAGAGGGAACAATACCTGTCAGAAGAATAAGAAAAAGAGAGTTGCTCAAGGCTCATTCAGTTGAAGACTATGGAAGAAAGAAGCCAAGCTTCTCTCACCATCATCATGATGGTCAACTGAACAAGAATCTTGATTCCTTTGTTCAACTTAAAAACCACTCTGTAAGTTTATCGTTCTTTTTATTAAACAACTTTTTGTTTTTTCTGTGTTCCTCTCCTTTATCACTTGTCTAAAAACAACACATTATACTCATAAAATGCTCAACAATAATTTCATTTCACAGGTCTAAATATACACTGTTGGATACCCTTTAACACACATTCTATTATAAATGGATATGTCAAAAAAGTGACAAATAATAGAGTCCTGTTTTATATATGTATATCTAGTTTTTCAAAGTTTTTAAGCATGGTTTTCTTGTGGATGAAAGATGAAAGAACAAACTCTTTTGCTTTGTTGATTTGACATGACATGCATGTATGTGAAACAGAAGGCAATATTGTTGACAGTCGGGTATCGTTACTTGGGAGGAAAAGCAGACCTGAGAGTGTGTAACCCTTTTGTTGAGAAGGATGATGAATACAGCACTTCTCAAGTGGCTCTCTTAACAGGGCCCTACAATGACTTTGAGTGTGTTGAATCTGGATGGGCAGTGAGAATCTAACCTCTCTTTTTATGCATGTTTGTTACTTGAAAGCTAAGTTATTCCAACACTCTTACATGAAAATGCCCTCCAAACTCTTTTTTTTTTTTTAATTAGAAGTAAATCATAAAGAAATTTATTGTGGATTTATATAATTTGTATTTTTTTTTAATTTTATAACAAAATTTTATTCTTTGAAGTTTAAGATAAGTTTAGTTTTAGTCTCTCAAATTAAAAAAAAATATTTATTCATATTTTTTAAAACTATTTTTAGTTGTTCAAATTTAATATCTAAGAACTAAAACTATATTCTATTGAGGAATTGTAATATTTTATTTTATTTTTAATTTGATGAATTAAATATGAATTTAACTCCAAATTTAAAAGATTAAACACATAGTTTATAATAATAAATAAGTTTTGAATAAATTTAACTCCAAGTTTTTTTTTTCGGGTTAGGAAAGTCATGTTGAATTACATTACTAAATTTTTTATTTTTTATAAAAGTTGAGTTTTAGAATATGAATTTCTTGTTTTAAATTAAAAAGTTTCTAACTTTTTTTTTCGAAACTCTATTTCTTTATTTTAAAAATTGATTTTGAAATACAAATTTATTTGAGATATAAGTATATTTTAAAAAATGTAGGGATAAAAAGGATGTGTTTTCAAGATAAATTTTACTTGATTTACTCTTTTCGTTGCTAAATGCTTGAACCTGAAGTTATATACGGTTGAAGTGTTTAAACCTTTTTCAGCTTTAAACAATTAATTATCTCTGTACTATATAAACTTGCACCAGGTCAATCCCAGTGTGTATGGAGATAGACAAACTCGGTTATTTGTATACTGGACGGTAAGTTTGCAATTGCATCAACTTACAATTTAACATAACTATCTATCATCCTTAAAACATATTTGTGAATTACTAACCCTTGATTTAGTTAATGTGTGCACAACGTTAAGTTTAGATTTGTTTTACACATGTTTTCGTTCACCTTCCAAAAAATTCAATAAAGTATTTCTATCAAACCTTATCATCAGGTGATATTATATCATTTAAGTATCACTTGAAATTGAAATCTGTTAATACAAAAAATTTAATGAATTTGATAGGGAGTGGTGAATCTTCTTGAGAACCAAAATTCCTATTTAATTTATGATTTTGATCTCCTTAAACATAATGAACATTTAATATATTTACTTATATATTTATAATTTTATCCTTTCAGCCCCTAACTCTCATATAATTTATAATTGTGTTCTCCTCAAACTTAATGATCATTTAATATATTTAAGTATATATCTACAATTTTATCTTTTTACAATTTCATCTTCTTTTTTTATATTTATTAATGATATATTATTTACCTCAAAATCAATGTTCAATATCTGCACTGTTCACAGTATTCTAAATCTAAACCCTAATTTGTCAAAAATAATTTTTTGCAGGCTGATGGTTCAATGAAAACGGGTTGCTTTGATCTAACTTGTCCTGGCTTTATTCAGACCAGCAACGAAATTGCTTTGGGTGCTGCAATCCATCCAATCTCACTTCCTGGTGGCCTTCCATACGTTATAACAATTTACATTTATAAGGTGAGTCACTCACATGTTTGTTTAACATTGTTGTTTTGGAGAAGATAATAGAATGTTTTTCAAACACTTTCTAAAAACTAAAATAAAAAATAAAAAAATAAGAGATTAATTGTTCTTAAACAAGCCTAGTGAACTTATAAGATATACACAGATGGAACATAATTCATTAAGATTTTTATTTAAATAAAATAAAATAAAATGTATCAGTATAAAATATTTAATATAATCTAACAATAAAATTAGCATGTGTAATAAGTTTTATAATGAACATTTTAAGTTGATTATTCCTTATTAGTTGACCTTTTTTAAAAAAATAATCTATATCAGTTTTTAAATATAACATAGTTAAAACTGTGATAATTAATAATAATTCATAGATTAATAATAACATAGATAAAACTGCGACAATTAATAATAATTCATAGATACATAACTCGATGTCGTCATAATTTTGAACATTGTTAACTAAAAAGAACTTGAACAATCAGAGTGATTGATAAAACCACGGCTAAATATATTTTTGTCTTAATTTTTTTAAATTTAGATTTGGTTTATGTATTTATTGATTAATTAGTCTTAAACATTAAAAATTTGTAGATTTAGTTATGTTATTAACTTTATAATTAAACATTAAATTTAGGTAAAGAAAAAGTAAAATCACATACTTATATATGTATATATATTAAGTTAGAATACCAGAATGTCAATTTAAGAGTTAAAAAAATACAAAATAAAGACAAGTTAAAAGAATGATAAAATTTCTCTGATTTCATCCACTAATGTGAATTGTGAAAGTATAAAAAAGAAAAACTTTTCTGATGTATTTTTGTTTGACATTTTGAGGATCCCTATACCAACAATTGGTGGGTGCAATATGGTGAAAAGACCAACATAGGTTATTGGCCACCTGAGTTATTTGAAAGATTATGTCACAACGCACAATCAGTGGAGTGGGGTGGTGAAGTTTACAGTTCAACCATTGGACACACTCCTCACACAGCGACACAAATGGGCAATGGCCAATTTGCTTCAGCTTTGTCTTTTTCATCTGCAATTACAAGAATGAGAATTCATGACAATTCTGAGGCCTTGAAGATCCCAGAATGGGCCAGTGGTTATTCTGATGAATATAATTGCTATGATGTTTGGTACATGTCAGATTACACTGATGATCCTCAATTTTATTATGGGGGGCCAGGTAGAAATCGATTCTGTCCTTGAGTTATTACATCTTAGAGTTTCTTGAGTATTTGGTAAAAAAAAATTCTGTTCTTTGAGATAAAAAAAACTGTAGTGATTAGTTTAGAAATTTACTAATTACAATTAGCTGAAAAAGTTCCTATGATTTTAAATGTATTATTTATTTACTGAGTTTTATGATGGAATGTTATGTAATTAGAGAGATCTATAAAACTAACCCTAGAGTGGTTGAATGTCATTAAAAATAAAATAAAGTTGAGTAAATTACAACTTTGATCCCATTTAATTTCCACAATTGTCATTTTCGAAAGTTTTATTAGTCCTAACACTTTGACCAAAATAAAAATAAATAAATAAATACAGCATTAAGAATTTAACCAAAATTACATATTTTCTAAGATGGGGTACAAATTTACAAAACAATATAGGATCAAAATCAGGGTTCAAGAATTAAGAAATATACCAAATTACAATTTGCCCAAAAAAAAAATAGGATGGCTAATGTATTAGTCGTGATATTTTCAATCTTAGCACACATCACTGTTTCTCTCTATTCATTTTTGCAGTAACACATTCCTAGGGTTCATACTATGTTATTCTGAAAGACTGTCAGACACTGGTATCCACGTTCCAATCTAACGTGAACCCACTATGTATGGGTCAAATCTCAGTTTTAACAAGCAAAGTGAAAATGTAGTGCGCAGGAAACAACATCCACTAATATTACATTTGATTATTTTTACCATTCCATATAGTTACAACAATATCTACATTCGAATATGCTGTAACAAAGACAAAACCAACAGGAAAAAATAGAATAAAGTAGCTAGATACATATAGTCAAACAACAACAAAAGTACAGGACTTGACGCACTGTAGAAACTTGTCTCAGCCTGTTTTGCTCTACATTTAGACAACACATGTGTCTCATTTTCACTTTCAACATAAGAGTTTAGTATTCATAGCTTTTGATTTTTCACTTTTCTGAAGCAGAACAAAACCAAACACAGGCTCAATAGTTCCATGTCCTTAAACATGACTAGACTAAATCATGCTGTTTTCTCTCTTGTTGGATTGATTGAAAAATTCTAGCAGCTGATTCCGTCGCTGATTTCCCATTATGTGGAACGACTTTGATGACTTGTGTTTGCCGTCTAGTTTCACTAGCATGAAGAGAAAGAGAATGTGCATCACTACCTTCAGCAATGTTCCCTGTTCTGATTCCCTGTGGTGTTTCACTAGGAGTACTCGCTGTGCTCCCTTGTAATTGTCTCTCCTTAGACACCTGAAGTTTCTTAACATGTGACATGGCTCCATTCCTCTGAACTGGCAAGTTAGATGAGCTTTGGTTATGGTGAGTGTTAAAATTGGCTCCCTCTACTGATGAATGACCATTTTGACCATGAGAACCTTGTGCAGCAAAATGGTTCAACTGTTCAACAGCTGACCCTGATGCTGCTTGATTCACTACTGCCATGCCATAAGGGGGGAAGTAGCTGTGGTTGGCCGGAGAAACAAATGGAGAAACCCCAACTACTTGATGAGAAGCTGGGAATTGATAGGCAGGATTCATGAAAGTAGCACCAAGAGGTGCTTGTCCGAATGGGCCATTACATCCTCCAGGCATCGTTCCGGTGAATCCAGGCCCGGGATATGGCTTGTAGACAAGCCCTTCGGAAGGAGACATGATAGGAATTAACCACTGATGTTGAGGTGACTGATTGAAACTCCAGGGACTTGTTCTATTATCAGAAGCTACATCTGCCTGCTGTGGGATTCCTGAAAAAGGGGTGTGATTTCTATGGTGGCTATCATTTCTGGGGGACGAAAAAGAGGTTTTTTTCCCAACTGCATTCTCGGCAGAACATTCTGTTTTATGGTTCAGCTTTTCTGAATTGTTTTTACGCTTAGGATTTTGTTGCTGGGGTTCAACAAAAACTTCCAATGAAATAGTTTTAGGAGTAGATCCCTCCAGAGGAAATTTTCCCAAGAAAGCACTATCTTCAAGCAAAACATCTGGGGATGCAGCAATCAGCTGTTGGACCTGTTTAAAATAAAAAGAATTAATGTGTGATTGTGTATGAACAGACTTGAAAAGTGAATCTCCAAGTCTGTGCAAGTACGGGCATGAAAAGTTAACAAGCTTCCCATTTGAGGCTAGCAGAAGAGCAATTTTACCTTAATCAGTCTGTGCAATTCAAACACTTGGACAGCAAACACTCTCTGCTGACTGTAGAGAGGAACGGGAGTTCAATCAAGAAACACAATACTCATCCAAAAGGTAAAAGCTCCTCTAAAGTTAAAAAGTATTTTTTACACACTTTCTTACTTTGAAGGAGCCAAGTCAAAGCTCATACAGATGCCAAACAAGAATATAGCTCTTAGCTATTGCACAGTACTCATCCAAAAGGTAAAAGCTCCTCTAAAGTAGAAGTATTTTTACACACTTTCTTCCTTTGAAGGAGCCAAGTAAAATATCATACAGATGCCAAATAAGAATATAGTTCATTGAAGAAAAACAAATTATATTATTCATATGAAATGGTTGTGTAATTGTGTTGTTTCTGATTCACAATAAAGACTAAACTCAACCAGGAAGCTTAAAGCATGCAACATAACATAGTCATCGTCTTTTCTAGGCATATATACATGAAATCATACAAAAGATGTTTAATGCATATGAACTATTATATGGCTACCAAATCAAACTACAGTCACAATAAATACTATTTTAAAGAAAAATCACCATCCGTAAATGTCCTGACTTGAACACAGAAAATTAAACACTAGCAAATGGGAGAGAAGAAGAAAAGAAAAACATTCCCCTTGTTCTATGTATAACATCTATTAACAACTCATCCCCTCATCATATACTCTCCAATTGTCCCTATACACCATAGGATCATCCTGCATTTCTCAGCCTCCGTCTTAGCCCAAGTCCTTCAGTGCAGCAAGGGCAAGCAGTAGTAAGGAAACTTGCCCCAGTGGTCACATGGAGAACCAAGTAAGAGGAAACCAAGAGAGAAATATATACAAGAGTCAAATGATCCGCTGTCAGCCTGTCACAAGGGAAACCCTTCGACACAGTACAATATTTTAAGACTGTTCACCACCCTGTTGTAAGACGATCCAGTATCGACCATTAAAAAAATATTAAGGACATTGAACATACAAAAAACCAATTTAGAAGGGACCCCAAGATGATCAGATTTTCTTTCTTCAGAGCCACATTTACAACTCCTCGAATGAAATGCAAAGGTTATTTACCTTGTATAGTTACACAACATAAACCAAACCAGTGCAGTTCTACATTTTTAGAAATAGGAGAAAGGAAAAATACATTCATTGAGTGGAAGTAGAGCAAAAGTTCAACATATTTTAGAAATCAAGCCTTATATCCAAATCAAATTTGCATGAAAATAATACGAAAGGAATCAAAATACAAATAATCAAATCAGAATACAAATCAAAGTTAGGGTTTTATTCTATAGTCCTGCACATAGAAACAAGTTGACTCTTTTTCATGACTACATAATAAATTTACAATATACACACACAAAAAAAAAAAATCACAAAACATCGTCCAGATGAAACATGTAAAGAACCACTTATCATAAATCAGTAAGGAGTTTCGCAGGGAAATAATTCAAGTCCGATATTATCACACCACGGAAAAACCTGTTGCTAACTGTTAGAAATAGCTAAAACAAGACTTACTTGGCAATTTTTCGCCTTGCTTTCCAGAAATGTTTTTGGCCTAACATCCCTACAACATCATCAGGAGAAACTATCAGACTTGACAAACTTGCTACCATGGAGATCTTGGAAACATCACCACTTTCATCAAAATTTCCCTTCTGTATTGGACCTCCCGTCCCAATATCATGATATTCAGCATCATCAGTAATATCAACTGGACAGGTTTGGTTTACTGGAGGTTGAAAACAGCTTCTTGGTACAAGGGCATTTCCATTATCCATATCCCTTGTAGAGTTAAGGAGAGCATTTCCATGTTCAATGTCATTGGATTGGGACCCAGCCACACAGTTCTGCTGTATACAAGCATCATCCTGATGTAACCTGCTTATATTTGGCACAGAACAATCTTGATCCTCTTGATTTGAAATCACCTTTGCTTGCATCACTAGACTGTCAATAACTTCTCCACTTGATTTGTTTTTGACAGACATTTTCGGTTGCTGTCTACTTGAACTTACATGTGGATGCACCTCATGCCGAGTTCTCACATGTTTTCTCCTATCAACAGAAAGGGAGCCAAATTGTGTTGAATCCTTGTCACCATCATTTTGCACTGAAGAAAAAATCCTAGCACCCAAAGGAGTGAGTTTTGTCCCATTGAAACTCTTCATCATTTTATCATTAGATTGACCAATCCTCGAGCAAATGTATGCATGAACGTCATCTTCATCTACTCTCTTTCTACTTTCTAGTTGGACCGCTGAAGTGTTTGATCCATCAGATTGGCGAGAAATATAACTTTCAGCTCGATGAGCAGGTGTTTGTGAAGGCAAACGAACTGGGTAGGCATAACTTCTCTCATGCCCATTCCCCTGAAAATACATCAATTCACATTAGAAATATACTCAGCCATTTATAAACCTTCACCAAATAGCCTAAATTATTGGTGTATTTAGTCATTAGATGGAACTGAGCCCTCACAAATTAGTCCTGTGATTGCCAACATGTCTTATGCCCTGATCAGATCAATTTTCTCATAAACACTTTTAGGAAAAGCAAATAAGAAGATAGAATAAATCGAGCTTCTTTAAAAACTAAAATCAACTTTTGCACTTAAACTTTTAGAGAAATTAAATCATATAGCTTCGATAAAAGCTAACTGCATAAGTCGATTTTAGCTTATGGGAGAAACTCAAATCATTATACCGTTTTATTTTCCCCTCCAATAAAGGTTTATAGAGAAATTTATTCAAACATGACCTAACCCTAACTGTTTTCACATGTACAAATTAGCCACTCGAGGGATGAAATTATTCACAATTTTCGGGGGCGTTTCAAATTATTGGTATTATTTGTAGTGTCAATATAGTTGGATGACAAACAACATAATGATATAATAACACTTCCATTTCAGAAAAAAAAAAAATAATAATAATAATAAACAAGGAAGGCTAACCTCGTTAAAAAGATTGATAAATTTGATGTTGTTTTAATGATCAAATAAACACAAGTTATTTTAAATCTTATACTAAAACAACAAACTCCAAGGCATATCATAAAAAGGCTAATTATTAAGAATCTCCTAAATTAATAAATTCCTCATCTTTCTTCTGAATTTAGTAGGCCTATCAATCTGATAACATGTGAGCAGATAAACCCAATAATAATTATTGAAGTATGTTATTAAAATAGACTATCATATTATCTTAGAATTTGAGATTTGACCTAACACAACCTGCAAAACTGATTTATTAGATCAGGGTTACCCCCAGTTATAGACTATTTTAAGGCTTTATCTTTAATTGAAGTAAGACTTCAGTTTTTTCCAATAATCTCAATCTAAGAACAAGTTAAGCAACTAAACCACAATAACACAAACATTCTCCAACTACCAAAAAGGAGTGAATGAAGAACAAATCAACAAAAACCAATCCTCACCTCGGTTGAAGAAGTTGGTGGAGCAACTAAGTTAGAAGATGAATTTGGGTTGAGTGGCAGAAGGCGTGGATTGAACCTCTGAGAGGGAACGCTGAACTGTTCATAGAGAGCCATCTTATTCCTCGGAGGTGCTCTTGGCCCTCCTTTCTCGGCATCATTTACATGCAGCCTCGGGAACATTGGCCCCACTACCTTCTCATCTTCGATCCCTCTCTTCATCCTATCCCAAAATATCTTCTTTTCCTTATCTTATTTGCACAAGGAGAGAGAAAAAAGCCAAGGAAAATCTGAATCGAAACTGGATGCAAAATCTTAGGAGACACCAGATGGGCAAAGATTGATGGGCCAACGAACTATGATCAGAAAGCAGAGTACGAGAAAAAAAAAAACAAAAAACGGAACTGATGAGTTAGGGATTCTTCTCAGACAGGGCTCCGAGGTAATGGAAAGAGAAGAAATAGAAGAGGAAAAAGTGCGGTCTTGTGGGCCCCACTACAGCATATCTCTACACTTGTTTAGATTTTCTTGCCTAGATTGTTCTTTCCTTTCTTCTTCTCCTTTTTCTAGTTACTATCATTTACTATATTAACTAATTGGTTCTTTTTGTGTTTTAAAATAAAACAGAACACGTGGCTTTTTTTAAGATTAAATTCACCGAACTATTTCATGATTTTAAGTTAGGATTATTAATTATGTTTTTTTATTATTTGTATCAGTTTTTAGTGAATTTTCTCGTTTAAATATTGTTATATAAAATAAACTGTTTGAGGAAATTATGTGATTTTGCAATAAAATTATTGAAAGAAGAAGTTTGTGAAAAAATATTTGATTAGAGTAAATATGAACAAGTGAAAGTACTGGTTGAAAAACATGAGAAACCCAAGGTTATATGCAAAAATGAAAATACTTATATGGAGTTGATAGAATAATAACACACTAACACACAAATTCAAGATTCAGCGAAAAAAATTGTTAGATGCTCGTGAATCTTCAAAGTCATTTAACTTTTTCTGAAATAGGATTTTAGAAACACTTTTAACCTTTTATTTTAGAGTTAAAATAAAATTTTAAAACCATTAAATATACTTAAAATTTAGAATCGAGAATCTTCTGTGATAACATCGTTAAAAATTTTTATTGAGATATTATATATTTTAATATATTCATAAATTTTATATTAATTTGGGGAATTAAAAATAAAATAACTTATATATACATCCACCTCTTAATCGATTAAGATATTTTTTTAAATCAAAATCTAAGTAACTGGACTAGAACTTTAACACAATCAAATGATAAATCTTATCAAAACGAAATTTTCATATTTCAATACAAACAATACTTAAAATATATTAATAATACGAAATAAAAAATTTCTTTACCAATCATAACATAAATTGTAATATAAAAAAAGTATTATTTTTATAATAATTATTTTAAAAATATATTTTAAATCATGTTTAATTATTAATAACGTAAAAGACATTATATTAACAAGACATAAAGATGAGACTCTTAGTTTTAATATTAAATTTATATTATAAAATTACGTTATTAAAAATAAATAAATTATATATATTTCTCAATTGAGCACAAGTTTTCGGAGGCTACCTACCACCAGCGGTTTCTTTTCTCTTTGATTGTAAGATAGTCAATCCCCTATACCTAAAAAAGTTTTATTTTCTTTTTAGTTTACAATGGTAACATATTTTGTCGCAATAGTTTCTTTTTCATTAGTTTTATGAAAATTATTAAGTAAACTAGGGATTTATATTTTAAACTTTTTCAATGACCATATATTTTCATTAAATTCTTAAATTTTAATGTTTTTTTTTCAAAATATATTTATGAATTTTAAAATAAATTATCAATATTATTTCTTAATAAATACTTAAAGTCTTATGTTAATTATACATCATTTACGTAATATAATTGGAAATTTTTATGAAAGTTAATATGTATAAACTATATGATATAGTAAAAATTTTAGAAGAAACCTATCGATCGGATGTATAGGAAATAATTATCTCTATACGCAATTGATCTTAGGCAAAAATGAAGTTTTATTAAAGATTAATTAATGACTTGCAAACAAAACTTTTGCACATTTTTATGGATGAAATTTGGTCTCGTATGGAAGCGGGATTACAAATTTGATTTTGCACTTCCTATATATTTTTATTAAACTCTTACATTAATGATATATTTTTTTTAAATATTTATGATTTCAAAAAAAGTTTTACTAATATTATTTCTTAGGGTTTTTGTTTTGCTGAAATGTGATTGGTTATAATGTAGGAGATGTTATTCATCTAGGAAAGAACAAGAAGATTTCTGATAAAAGTAATACCCTAGTAAAGTAATAAAACATTAAAAGATAGATCTCCTAAGGTACTATTGAAAGGAAATAATATTAAGATATTTATTAAGAAATTTAAGAGTGAGTCTAAGTTTCATATTAATTAAGAATGAGAAAATTAGGTAATATACAAAGGAAAAAATATCATAACCTAAGACCTTAATATTTTGAATTGAATGTAGTATCAATCTTTTATGTGGGTTGATCTCATGTCTCATAGGTGGTATCTCTCATTGGTGAATCCTCAATCCGAAAGACCCAATAGTGATATCAGAGTTAATGATTTATGTGGTGACCGATAGTTTAAGAATAGTTCTTGTATTGAAAGTCTTCCTGACAGTAAATTAAGCAAGCATGTTCCATTATGATGAACCATGATACTTTAAGTATAAAAATTCCAAGAAGGTAATTTATAGATTCTAATAGAAATGAAAAGTTTAGAAACTTAAAATCTAGTTAAAGTTAATGATTTAAAAAAACTACATGATCAACATTATGGTAAATCCGAATAGAATATGGACATGATTGAATTGATGGATATTTCAAATATGAAACATGGAAATCAAGTTACTTGGAGCAATGAAGTTTATGAGGTGGAGGGGAAAGAGATGAATTAGGACAAGGAAATTCAACTAAATATGATTTGCAACATATACTTTAAAAAAAGTAAGGATATTATTGTTAAAATGAAAAATCAATCTAAAGGGGTTCACTCAATGGTGGAAGATGAAAGTTTTTTATTTAATGATAAGAGACTACCTAATTCAAAAAGCATAATGTTGTAAAGAATTTTTATTACGATGATTTTGGTTTCTTTTAATAGAATTTCATTTTTTTTTGGAAAGTTTTGAACCTAAAGATATTTTTTTCTAATTATATAGATATTCTTAGTTTATGGTGTCTTATGTATTATGATCCTATGATTATGGATAATTTTTTACTATACCAAGAATACATGAATGTAAGAAGATTTTTCCTTTTACTATTTTTTTTTATATATTTTGATTGAATTATAGTGGATAATTAAATTTCCATACCTACGTTTGGTAATCAATTCACATGGTCAAATAGAAGATTAAATATGTTAATTTGTAACATGGATTGGTTGAATATGTGGTGTTCTATATCCTATGTGACTTTCTAGAGGAGTCAACCTTACTTTCCTTTCTTGTTATAAGTAAAGAAAGATCATTCTAATTTTATTATGTTAATTTTGTTGGAACATTCAAACTATGGAAAAGGTTTGGAGGAAGAATTTGGTGGGATTATCTATTTTTTATACTTAATACAAAATTGAAAGAGTTAAAAATAAAATTTAATGCAAAACATTTGAATTATAAAATAGAAAAAATTAAGATAAATAGGATTATAAATATTATAGAAAATTTTTGTTATGGTTTTATTGAAATCATGTAAAACTGAATTTATTACTATTTTTTTAAAGCCTGTAATAAAATTTGGTAGAAAGGAGGTGTCTTACAATTGTTTGGATTAAATGTAATTCATATGGTGTTGATAAGGGATATCCTTCTAAACATCATTATTGGTAGAGTTATTAATATAACATAGGTGTTTAGTTTCTTACACTTTTTAGCTGAAAAATTTATTCCCTTGTAACGTATTTTCATATATCATCATGATTAAGTGGTATCATTCGAAACTTTCTGGAATGGAACTATATTAAGATTTTGATAAAATAAAATATATCCTTAATTATCAACTATAATTTTTACCTAGTTTTAAAAACAACTAATATTAAAGTTAAATTTTAATATTAAAAAAAACTTTCATGAAAAGGTTCTTGAATTATTGATTTCATTTCAAACAAACAATCACAAATATTCAAGAGTTATTAATTCTTAGTGTTTAAAAATTTAAAAAAATTAAAAAAAAAAGACAATTAAAATGGAAAAAACTGGGACCCTGATAAACCAGTGAAATAAAGTGGTTAAAAGTTTTGGAAATAAAAGTTCCTCGAACCATGAAATATTGGACACAAATTTTAGTAGTCTTTTCTTTTAATTAGCCAAATTAAATCTATGAATTTGTGTGAGTTTTGTTAGTGGGTGTGATATTTTTGTCAATCAGTTTATAAAAAAAATGTTTAAAAATAAGTATACATTAACATTTGAAGAAATCATAGAAAACGTTGATTATGAGTTTTTCCAAATGTAATTTTAGAGTAGAGAAAATTAAATAAATTTTTCTACAAACAAAAATTAACTTATATAAATTAAAAATGAGAATTAGCTTATACTACAAAAAAAAAAAAAAAAACTTACGAAAAACATTATTTCAATTTTTAAATTTTTTTTCTTTTTAAAATTATTTATAGAGAAATTCGTCTACGTATACATGTGTGCGCACCTAATAGGTTCATCCTCTTACTCAAATAATTTTTAAATTATCTTTTCAGTTAATATAATGGCAGAAATTACTCTTATATAAAATTTAACAAGCAAGCAAGTACTTATGTTAAATTGATAAGATAAAAGTTGCAACAACAAAATTCCAATTATTTTTGAAATATAAATTGATAATTTTAAAATTTCTATAATTGTAAAATTGATAATTTTTTAAATAAAATTTTAAAATAAGTATATCTAAGATAAGTTCGAATTGATTAATATACAACTTTCTGTAGCATTAATTCACATAATTTTTTTTAATAACCAATTATATAATTATATTTTGTTTAGATAATTGTTTAATAAACACATGTGCAGGAAAAATAATTCATAAATCAATTAAATTTTGTAATAATTATTCTAATTAATATATATTTTTAAATAACACGTATAAACTAATTTTAATTTATATAAAAACCCAATGATACTTCATTTTATTATTTTCTCATAAA